GAAAATTTCTATGGAACACAAAGTGGGCCATATTCTTATGTTGTTTCAGTGACTTTTAGCAATAATTCACGCGACATATCTTATTTTGTTAGTCACTATTCTTTTTTAAAATCATGGTTCTTTGAAGGAATTGTCACTAGTCATAATGAATTGATATTAAAGATAAATACTAAGAGAAGTTAATTATACCACCCGGTATCCATACAACGTGTTTTTCTCGACTTATTTATAGATCAAACATTGTACACGAAAATAGGTGACGCATTCTGCTGCTGTTGTCGAGTTGGTTGCTCATGAAATATGGGTAAAAGTGAGAGATTCATAAAGAAAATCGAAATAAACCAATTTTAATTATTATGTAGAATATCTGAGAAATCATCTAAGACATGAATTTTTTTTTTTTTTTTTTAACTTTGACGAAATTTGGTGTTGAATCCTTATATGCACGAAAATAGGTTACACCACTGTGCTTGTAATTTCATTATTGGCAGGATTTTTATTCAGATAAAACGCACGAAAAATGGCATAATCCCTTCAAGTAAGCTTATACCGGGTACCTCATACTAAAAATTTAACTGTCTATTCCTATATGCATGTTTTCATAGTCTTACTAGAATTTGAGTCAAATTTTTAACTTTCAAACGTGAATAATTATGGAAACACATGGGTTTTGAAGGCTCAAATATCAACGATGAGCTGTAAACACTATTACTGATTATGTAAGCTAAAAAAATTCCTGTTTCTGAAACTAAGATATGATTGGTTGAACAGATAGTGAAGGTGCTCCTTTAATTTTTATCCCAGTTGATAAACATCTTTGATACTGTGTACTTATTGATATTTCAAATTCAATATTTTACCTCACATACATAGTAAAAACTGTGCAATACTAATGATCAAAATGAAGAAAAAGTCTTAATTGAGCATATTGAATGCATCTTCTAGTCTAATTGTGCTCTCTTAAAAGTGACTGTTAAGGCTGTAACCAGTTTATTTTTAGTTAAAAAAAGTTGTGAACTTAAATATAATATGACAATGAAAATTGTAATTATTCTTTTTGACAGTTGGGTTCAATTTAGATCAGAATGTTTTAAAAGACAATTAGTTCCACCAAATTTAATGTTTTGTCTCATTAAAAATATTGATTCACAATTCCTTAAAATTTGGTAACAATTGAAATGTTTCATTTGTAGACGCTATAATATAGAGTCTATATCGATCTCAAGTCTAGTATTGTATAATATAGGCCTATGCTTAATATAAAATGAATAATATGACAAAAAATTATAGGCTAATATTGTTGATAAGAAGCAATGAATCAAGTTGTATCTAGACTAAAAGGCCGTATATTTTTTCAAGGTTAGAGACTTTTGAGAGTTGCCTTATTTTTCTAGATTTGGCAGAAAAATTTCACAAAAAATATAAGCTTTACAATTTGATTTGATTTGCAGATAGTCTCATGATAAATTTGAATTTTGGCTTATCATAGGAAACTTGTCCCTTAAAGGGACACGTGGTTGATTTGGACTTTGAACATATATGTAAATAATCTTCAGAACTACTAAATGAAATATTAAAAGAATTGGGTCAATAGCAAAGTATTTATTGTGACATAGTTTTATGTACCAAAACTGTCATATCCTGTAGTAACAAAGCTGTGTATGTATAAAGAACTGAATATATTAAGCAGGGTTGACTGATTCTCTTGTGAATTCATTATAACATATTTACACAAGAATTTAGATTACTTTCTCTATTATTTACAAATATTTTTACTAAAAGTAATTTATGGACATATACTTTCACATTGAATCCTCATTTAAAATTTTTTTTAAAACTCAATTAAAACCAAATCAATTACCGTCTTGTACTCTTGTCAAATTCCAGAAACATATCCTTCAAATATATATTTTTTAAATCCCTGCATTGTACGGTAATTGTACTGACTAAATGTAATTGTTATGGGCTTAGAGTTAAGTACCGTACCGTACTGTATCTTATAAAGCTAAAGTTGCAGAAATTGAGTTTTGTTCCATTGGACTTTGTAAACAGACAATGAAAAAATATATGAACACAATTCTAGTTTGCTCAAAGATTCAATAGAACCATTCTGATTTAGATTAATCACATTAAATAATATGTTACATTATATTGTGTCTATTATTATAACTGGACTGATTATCAGTAAGTGAAATAAAGAAGGACACTTAAAATATCAAATGGACCAGCCTTTTATTTATTTAGTGCAAGGTTTGTAAATAATTACACACGATTAGGTACGGTAATAGATCAGGCAAGAAAAATTGTATGCCTATGCAACACCTAATTCTTGCCATGCATTGTATAACTCCAAATTATATGATTGTGTACTAGCTAAACTTTGATTTTTTAAAGGAATTAGTATTGGAATTTTTATTAAAAACTTTTAAGAAATTGATCATGTTATAGTGAATTGTTTCTTTAAATATTTGAAGTATATTGAAGCATGTAAAGTTTTAAACTGTGACGTCAATGGTTATCATTATTATTTAGATATCTCTCAAAACTAAACAGCAAAATTTTATTATCAATAAATTATAAAAAAGTAAATAAAAGAGCTCTTAAAAGATTTTATTTATTAAAATAGCACCAATGTAGTAGATTACTTTTTACCTTAAAGGGCCAAGTGGGCCATTTTTTTTTTACCAATCATACTTTAGTCTCAGAATCTGAAATCATTTAGCTGAGCTAATCAGTACTAGTGTTCACAGCTCACTGTAGAAATTTGAGCCTTGTGCCATGTGTCCAGAATTATCTGCGTTTGAATGTTTAAATGACAAGTCAAGATAAGATACTCTGTGATATATAGAAAAGAAATGTAGAGAAATGGTGAATAAAATGCATAGTTTGAAGTATTTTTAAAGGAATTATGCGATTTTCGTACTTTTTCTATTAGTTCTGAAGACTATTTTATATATGTACATATATTCAAGACCCCAAAATGGCACACCTGTCCCTTTAAAGTGGCCTGTAATTACACATTTTCCAAGTAAATGGTTGAATCTGTCATTTTTTTTTCGATCCATTTGAATTTTCTTCATAAATTTATTTTATCAATATCTCATTTTGGCATAAGCTATCCTTTTAATTGCCCCAGATCCCTTCTGGACAGGAGCAACAAAAAAACACAAGTCATTTAATTTAAAAACAATTGCTTAGGTGCTCCTCAATGACTCAATTTTAAAAAGTTTATATTCATTTAACTTTGATAATTGGTTTTGTGTTCAAATTGATGGAGGTGGATTTTTATAGATTACTTATTGGTAAATGTTTGGTCAACTAATCAGATAAAAACAAAGAATTGAGTTAAATTGAGATATATAATTACAGACAGTTCACTAGTAGAATAATTTGTATGTTTTATTTCAGTGTTGGATACTGCTGGTCAAGAAGAGTTCAGTGCTATGAGAGAACAGTATATGAGAAAGGGAGATGGATTTTTATTAGTTTATTCTGTAACAGACAGACAAAGTTTTGAAAATATTCCAAATTTTCATACACAAATTCTACGGGTTAAAGATAGGTAGGTAGTCTAGGTACATGCTTTTGTTATCTAATACCTTTGTTTGATCTCTATGAATAAATAATAAATGTTATATCTTATCTTTATAGGATACTTATCCTATGTTATATTAAATTGATGTTTATCTGATGTTAAAAAGACTAATGATGTATTTTGTAAGAATACCTATCCTATGTTATATCTAATGATGTATTTAATATCGATACTTATCGTATCTAATGTTATATCTAATAATGTAATTAATAGGGATTTTGGTTTTTACCCTCACTTCATTTCTTAAAAAATCCAGAATATGATTTCTATGTTTCAGCCCCAAAATCAATTTTATTTAAAAAAAATTTGTAGGAGAACTCTCGCATATGCTCCATGCGCCTATGCACTTCTAATCTCCAGAGGTGAATCTCAACCTCAACAGTTGACCCCTAGTAGGTGGCAGTCTGGTGCCACCACTAATCCTATATTGTATATTATATATAATATCTAATATTTTGTAGGGATACCTATCCTATGTTATTAGTAGCTAATAAAGTTGATTTAGTACATCAGAGAAAAGTTAGTGAAGAATCAGGTCGTGAATTAGCAGCTAATCTTCGGGTATGTAATTCTACAATTATTCATGTTGTATATTGGATATTTGTATTTTCATTTTCACAGGATTTTGGAACTAAGTATCTTAGGTCCTGGTTATATGTAAAGGGCCAGCCCGATGAGGTGAGCTGGCTTGGTTACCCGGGTTGGATATTTTTCTCTTTATATGAACGCGGGCTGGCAATTATTCTGTTCATATGGTATGTATGAAGGTTACTTCATAACAAAAATGGTGCCTTAATGTGATAGCATGAAAATACTGCTGGTGTGCACACTGATTTTCTGTGCATCTTTGAGTGCATATCATATTCTTCATCAATAACAAGAACTGCTTATGCTTAATTCTTTGCTGCTAGGGCAATGAAGATTAAAGTGGAGTCGTATTGGTCGATTATCATGTAAAAGAAATAACTGCCAGCACAATGGACCGATTGACTAGTGGGTGGCACAAATATAATCTGGTGACTAATTACGAAATAAATAAAGACATAATTTTGACCAGTTTATTGCATTGAGAATTTTCTAGTTATAACTTTGTACACTTCAAAAGACATAGGGTCAGTTGTATTTATAGCTATCAGGTGTGCTGTGGCAATATCACACGGTACCACAATACAGGGGTGGAACAAGGACATCTTAGAATATTCAATAATGTCTTGATGGAACTCATTAATGGTTTATTTTGTATAGATACAAAAGTTAGGTCTTATTTGGCTTTTGTCAAAAAAGCGGTTCAAAAATGTATGGGAGTGACGTCAGACCCGAGTTACTCGGCTCACCTGGCTAGCCCGCCACATATAACCAGGCCCTTAATATCACAGCCAACAGTATTAATTTGCTATTGTGTTAAAGGTATACAGTTATTTGTATATATATATAACTGATAGAGCTCAAACATTTTACAAAAAGTTACAAAAGTCTAATTCCCACTTTCTGCATTATTTTGATAAACTAAGGCGATATTGCCAATATAATGATATCATCATATGAAAATGTTGAAAATGCATTAAAGAATGTCACAGATAGCTGAAATTGACAATACAATTATATTAATAAGATAGAGCGAGGTGGTTGCCACAGATAATCTTCAAAACTCTCCCAATATACCACTACTTTTCAGATCCAATATATTGAAACAAGTGCCAAAGACCCTCCATTAAATGTTGATAAAGCGTTTCATGATGTTGTCCGAATTATTAGGTATTGTATGATCTTTTTTTGAAACAATATGTGGTATGGTCAGTTGTAAAACACATTTAATGCATTAGAGTCGACAAACAAATGTATTCATGCCCATCCAGTGACAAATCAAAACAGAGACACAAATAGACCATTTAAGGCTATTGCTTGTAGCTGAAACAAATTTTCTTTATTGAAATATGTCTAGTTTGGACTCAATTAACATGGTCATTAGCATGGTGAATTTTATAAAGAAATCTCAGAACAAAATTATGTTAATGTTCCTCAAGGTTTTGTTTTATTGATTTTCTTTTGCAGAGATCAACCAGAAGATCTGAAAAATAATCACAGACGACGTCATGGCAGACGTAAAAAGCAGAAGTGTGTCATTCTCTAACAGAGACTACTGTTTTGTATTGGGGATTGGTTTCTGCTGGTCAAATTCTGGACACATTAGGTATACCGGTATTAAAGCTTCACTACTGTTTCCATCTATCACTATCATTCTTCTGAACTTAGAACTAAAGCCCTTATTCTTGAATCTCAAAGAATGACAACCTTTCTTAAATAAATGATCAGTTTTTGTATATTCAAAGGCCATACATTAGTTTTTATTGGAGATTTACACATAATAATGTGTTCATGTTGGCAATAAACCAGGATATATTTGATATATCAAGTATTCTGCTGCCAATCTGCTAGTGTGACAAAATTTGGTTGTAAATTCAGCAGATTATACTCTGTAGGTTTAAGGTTTACCTCAAAAAAAATACATAGCATTTATGTTTACATGTAATTTAACTCTGTTCATTATCAATTAGAATTTTCAAGAGTAAGGGCACTTAAGACATCTTTAATACAGCTGTTGAAAAATTCAAAATTTAGATATAGTTTAAAATTGATCGTATGATCGAATTATAATTCATTTTGAAGCTGACAAAAGAAAGTCATATTACATGACCTACTAAAATGATAAAATTGTCTAAATATTTGTTCTACCAGCTGATGGAGCTCAATTTTAGATTTCCAAACCACATTTAACAACAAAATATCGATGTTAGCTTGTCCAATTCAACAAAAATGCAGGAATGAAGTTTAGGTCATTGATATATAGATATTATCATGTTCCTTGGAGGAATAACTTATGATGTCCTCAATAACTACACCAAGCAGTCCAAAACTGACAACTGTATAAATTAGCACATTGTGGTTTTTATACGCCCACATCTATCTATGTGGACGTATATTGTCGGCACCCCTGTCGGTCCGTACGTCCGTCCGTCAACATTTCCAAAATCGAAAGGTTTGAGAAAGTTTAGTTTACTAATGATTAAATTAAGGCTTTTTCAAGATTAAGGCCTCTTACGTCAGTTTTGAGGAGTTATCACCCTTTAACCTCTATACAGTAAATGCTTATATCAAAATCTATTGCTTGTAAACACTCTGTCAGTCCGTACGTCAACATTTGCCCGTGAACGCTCTAAAAACTAGATTTTTTGCTAGAATCAAATGAAATTCGGTATGTGGGTACATATTCATAAAATGAAGATCAAGTTCAAATTTGAGCTATTTTCGACTGTTAGAAGCAGAGTTATTGCCCTTGCCCCAAAATCTTGAAACTTAAAATAGATGTTTCGTTTTTACCACCCGCATGCCGTGGTGGGCGTATATGGCTGTGGTTCACTATCTTTGTTGAATGGAAGGAAAGCATGACATCAGATTCTTATTCTGAAAATTAAAGCAAATATTAAGATGACTTTAAAACTTAATTTGGGTTGAACCCTAATATTATTTTTTAAGCTGATCATTCCAAAACCAATGGCCTTGGCTGAAAGTATGACATTTTACTGAAGTAAAACAATATTTTAAGAGATAATTTGTTCAATGTTTAAGAGCTGGCTCTTGTCTGTTAATGTTAAGATGTATGCAGGCATATATCTCTATATGTATATTGTATTGTGTTTAGACGTTTACCTGTATTTTGTGAGTATTTAAAACCAAGTTTATAAACCATAGTTTAAGAAAGAATGTCAATCTGATAATCAACACCAAATATTCATATATATATATATATATATATATATATATATTTGTACAATGTACAAATGTTAACAGTAACATTTAATTATGTTCAAAGTTCTTGGAACAAGAAGATAAATTTTGTTTATTTCAGAATAATAATGTTTGAAATCGGTGGATCCAGTTAATTTTTTTTAAAAATACAATGAAAAATACAATGTCCAATGAAGAGCCATATATTTTCCAACACAATTTTACCTTAATTAATTCTTTGTGAACTCTTTTTGACAAATGTTAATAAGATTAGTCAAAAATACCAGGAACAGTCAATTTTAAAAAAAAGATATTCTTTATTATAGTTCTATGAAACAGGCCTGGTTTTCTGACCAAATTCAGACTAACATCTGTCAGAATCTACATGATTGTTATTATCAGACTATTTCTTCTACCATTGTGTTTGTCAGGCTGTCAAATTAAATTCTAAACTTGTTAATTAAAAGTGCTAATATTGATTTAATTCTAGTTGATAGTTAGCTTGTATCTATTGTTTCAACTCCTTTTACAAATCAATAGCAATTAAACACAAGACTTATATTTTTCTGTTCCTTGTTTGGCTAATGATGGTTTTTTTTGGGTCTGGATTTTAATTTTGGAAATATAGTTGATCTACCCAGCAGAATGCATCCCTTGCTGCTTTATTAGGTAAAATGAAGTGATGCCATTGACATGAATTTAGTAATAATAGAACTTTGTAAGTTTTATATAATAGTTCCACAAAATTTCTCTAATCCCTTTCTAAAATTTGAAGACAACTGAGGAGATGTTTAGGTCTATGATATGAAATATACAGTAATTGTTATCCATATATAGGCATATCTAAATATGTTCTAACCTTATTTACTTATTTTAGTTCTTAATTCAAAATGGTGGACAGTGTTCAATTTTCATTTGTTAAGATTTCTCAATTATTTTTAGTTATTTTACAGCATTTTTAATTCTTGAAAGCATAAGAATTGTTTTGTTTAATATATTTTATTTTATTTTTTTTTAAGATATTTAGAATCTAAGTAATCTTACTTTTGTTTTCGTTCTTGCACATTTAAAACCATAATATACAATTATCATAAAATATTACTTTTATTATAAATTTTTATACTTTACAAAAATGCATGATTGGGACATTTCCAGACATAATTCAAATCAGTTTATTGTGTCTTTAGGTAGACTGAGTGGTAATCATTTAGGTCTATATTGTGATCCATTCCACTTAATATACCTTAGATGAGAATAAATTGATTATATTTATGTATGGAAATACCAACAGTGTCTTTGACTGTGTATAACATTGATATCAGAGCTGAAGACACACTGTTTTCTCCTCTGTGTAGAAATGTATGGAATCTTTCAAACCTTCTCGACCAATACCAGATTCTTTTATTCCACCGAAAGGTACATTTAGATCTCTTATCAACCAACAATTAGCCCAGACTGTACCCACCTGAAAATTAAAACTTAATTAGGTACAATGTATACATAGAATTTTGCTAACTTTGCTCAGTTCAAGACTATTACTTTCAAGTAGATTTACCTGGCATCAAAATCTGAGACATTTATCTTCCATTTTACCTGTAAGCGTTGAGCCATCCTATGTATAGTGGAAACATCTTGTGACCATACTGAGGCACACAGACCATATTTAACACTGTTTACTCGATAAATGATTTCTTCTTCATCATCAAATGGTACAACACAAACAACAGGACCGAATATTTCTTCTGTCATTAGTCTAGAATCATCAGCCACATCTGTTATTACAGTTGGTCTCATGAAATAACCCTAAAAGCATAGTATAACATTTTTACATTTTTAATTAGGAAGAGCACTTTTGTAAAAAGCAACATGACCGTATCATGATAAGATTCCAAACTAAAGCCAGGTATCAAGATCATTTTCAAACTAAAGCTGGGTATCAAGATCATTTTCAAACTAAAGCCAGGTATCAAGATCATTTTTAAACTAAAGCCGGGTATCAAGATCATTTTCAAACTAAAGCCGGGTTTCAAGATCATTTCCAAACTAAAGCCGGGTATCAAGATCATTTTAAACTAAAGCCGGGTTTCAAGATCATTTCCAAACTAAAGCCAGGTATCAATATCATTTTTAAACTAAAGCCAGGTACCAAGATCATTTTCAAACTAAAGCCGGGTTTCAAGATCATTTCCAAACTAAAGCCGGGTTTCAAGATCATTTCCAAACCAAAGCCGGGTATCAAGATCATTTTCAAACTAAAGCCGGGTATCAAGGTCATTTTCAAACTAAAGCCGGGTTTCAAGATCATTTTCAAACTTAAGCCAGGTATCAAGATGATTTTCAAACTAAAGCCGGGTATCAAGATCATTTTAAACTAAAGCCGGGTATCAAGATCATTTTCAAACCAAAGCAGAAACTGCAGATCATTTTCAAACTAAAGCAGGGTATCAAGATCATTTACAAACTAAAGGAGAACATTAAAGTAATGCATCAAGATCATTTTCAAGTTAAGTGAAGCACAATTAAATTAATACTGAATTTAAAGTATGATCATTTGCACAACATAAATGAGGACAATCAATATTTGAACTACATTATTAGCATGTAAGCTAGCAAGAAGGTAACATTCAAAGTCAAAATGAAATTTTGTAAATGATGTTAAAGAACATTACATTTTTCTTGTCGTCTGATAAATTCAAACCATCAGACTTGTCACCACATAATATACTGGCGCCCTCTTTCTCAGCTAAAGTTACAAAACTCTTCACTTTATTCAAATGTTCTTTACTTATCAATGCTCCAATTATACAGTTGTCATCATACGGATTTCCAACCTTGAGGTTTCTGAAGAAAAGTTAGAAACTATAGGATTTACTATTATTAAATTTCACAATTATAGATTACTTAAGCTGAAAATCAAACAAAAAACTACATCGAAATTATGCCATATCATCAACATCTTCACTATGTAAAGCTTTCACAAAATCTTTCTTATACCTTGACATCATTTAACACTTTTCTTGTTTGAATGTTAAATATATGAGATTTATCTCCCATTTGAAGGTTTAATATGAAAACTCAACATGAAAACATAACTTGTGGACGAAGATTGAGAACTAGTTACACACACTGTCAGAATATTGACAGTCTTTCTGTTGAGAGCCCTGATTGACTATTCACTATCATAAAATCCAATCAAATCACATTTATAAACCTTGCTGATTCAAGAAACGATGTCAAGGTCTATGACAGAGTTTGTAAAAGCTAGACATCGTGAAGATGTTTCATTTAAGAGGTTTGAAGTCCCACTTAAACATTCTAAAATTTGATCATAATTTCAGGTTAAACAACGGAAATATTACCTGGTTTCTTGAACAAAGGACTCTATAAATTGCTGAAATATTTGTCTGTGTACAAAAATTCTACTGGTGCATAAACATATTTCTCCCTGATTTAAAAAACTTGATCTAAAACATAGGTATCAAATAATATAGAATATTACTTTTTATACGCCCACACGTAAGATGGGCGTATATTGTAATCACCCCGTCCGTCCGTCCGTTCGTTCACATTTGGCTCGTGCTCACTCTATAGGCTATAGTTCTTTATGGATTCTTTTGATTTTTATTTTGTGTGTCAATGTCATTATGAAGATGATCCCTATTGATTTTCGTGATGATCGGATAATTTTTCACCGAAATATCGTGTCTGACTTGACGTTTTTCTCTATTAGCTATATTGTGCAACCCTGTAGTCTGTAAAGACTGTTTAATCATTTCTGACAGCTGCCAGTGGGCGTATGTTACCTTGCCTGGCAAGCTATCTTTTGTTATCTGTGATACAACACAATATGGATATTATTATTATGAGCAGCGCCAAGTTAAAAGATATAAACTAAGACATTTACAAGTATCATTGCCAAGTTAACTGTTAACTCTTACTGTCTAGGCATCTTTCCTATAAATATATTGTGTTCAAAATGACAATTTTGAGTTGACATATTACCTAGCCATGTTTTAGCTTCATTTCTATGTGTCATTTGATAGCTAAAAGACGCTTCTTTCCAAAAGAATTAAATTTCAGTATTAGCCTAATTGTGTGTAATTATTGTGAGTAAGAAGAAAAATAAACAAACCTAACAGTACTAGAGATACACTTAGTCAAATTAGCATCTTTAAATACAACTGCTGCATTTTTTCCCCCAAGCTACAAAATAATAAGAATACATGAAGTTCCCAGGTGGATTTTATTACCCATAAACAAAAAGTTTGGTCTGTTTGTGAAAGTTAGAAGTGTTTTATGTTTTATGTTTTAGTGGAAATGAGTTGTGTCCATAAAACATCCATATTTTTTGTTAAGAGTCTTGCAGATGTCAACACCGCCAAAATAAATATCTGAACAATAATAATATGTTACCTCTAATGATAATTTTTTACAATATTTCACTGAAGCTAGTCGAACTCTTTCAGCAGTCACTGTACCTCCAGTAAAGGATATTAAAGGTACACAGGGATGAGATACTAGAGCTTCACCAGCTTTATGTCCATAACCAAATACCATATTAACAACACCAGGTGGTAGACCTAAAACATCAGTCAAATATTTTAACCACAATCAAGTACATAGCCTACCAATTGGTCATTACAGTACCTTAGATTCATAATGCAGCTGAGTATTTTTGATTTGATAGCACTGTAGTTTTTGAATTACAGTTCGATACATGGGTTGAAAGTGCAAAGAAAGGTTACCGCTGCCAAAATGGCACTTTAAAGGGACTTTCCACTTTTTTGAAGGACGAAAAATCTTTTTGCTCAAATTTGTGAAAACTATACATTAATATGTAGAGAAATGTTTCCCATACCATATATCTGAAAGCTTCAACTGAAAAATCCAGCCATTACAAAGCCAAATGCCAAAACTAGGTCAAACTGCTTAATTAGCAATTAATACACTCCATTTTAATTAACCCTTTTAAAACAAATTCACTTTGATCAAGTAGATGCATAAATATAATTAGCATACTTTAGAAATATTGCAGAACTATTTTATGACATTTTTGATAATGAAAATGTTTTATAAAAAAGCGGAATGCCCCTTTAAATAAATATGAACCATGTGAACTATCAATCATTATAGAAACTAGATATGATGGAGATATGAACATTTTCAACCAAAAATGTTCTTTTCTTGCAGAAAGGTTTCGAAGTTATAGTAAATTAAAATCAATACATGATTAACTTCCATAAGGACTGGCTATGGACAGCTGATAAATTGGAGTAGTAGGCTATCATATGAAGTAATATCCAGGTTATAACTATGGTTTGAAAAAAAAAGAAACTCAGCACCAGAATATTCATACCTCGAGTCAATTGGCTGCTTATTTTACCCTTGACCCCTGATAATTTAGTCACAAATTTTACATTGAGGCCTGGGGCTTGTTCTACTAATACTTAACTTACAGTGATATAATGACTGTGTTTCAGTCATTTTATTTTTCATTTAATAAATCTGATTTTAACAAATCAGATCGCTTTATTTCCTAACTAGTAATTTTATCTTAGTTAAATTTTCTGAAACAAGCCACTTTTCTTACGAACTTCAAAAATCAGAAGGACTCATATTGTTAATATTCATCATGTTGGTGAATCAATAGATATCCTAAATCAAATCTAAATTCCATTGTTAATCTTGATTTGAAATAGCATTTTGGCATAAGAATTTCTGAGTGACTAATTGACCAGGGACTAATTCTGCAGACAGCTAATTGACAGCAAGCTACTATTCTCTTCAACATCTCTATATCACCATTTTGTTCTTCCTCATAGATCTGTATCACTCAGTGTCACTGAAATATGAAATCCCTTCTCTAGTCTCCTGTAGCCTCTTTTAGCCTCTACTGCCTTTTTTCTAGGATTTTACACTGAGACTGTAAATTGAAAAAGATTTATAAGGCAAATATCCTAGGACCTGAAGGTTTGTCTACCTAAAACACATAGAGCCAATAACATAAGCCAGCTTTTGTTGACTTTTCTATTAATTTTTTAGAACAATAAGTCAATCTGTTTTTAAATTTTGGTATATATATATATATATGTTACTAGAGTATATATCAATTAGTTGACAAAACTTCAAATCTATCAAACTCTAAAAACATTTTGTGCCATTCTTTTTTTTCAAATAAAGCAATATGTCAAACTTGTTCTTAGATTCAAATTATTTATAAAGTTTTTGTAGCATTCAGGCTCTGGTCCTCCTCAAAATTCATAATTCTGAATGTGACAGGAGCTATAAAATGGCTTGTCCATAATCAGATAATCAGTATTCTGTGAATTCGATGTACTCCAAAGCAATAAACCAGAGGATTGATGTCAAATTTAGCTATTTATATCAATTAATACTTCCAGTCTACATTTATGTTTTAGAACCAGAGACCAGTTTAGTTGATCAATATATCAAAACACGAAAAAGTTGATTAAAATTTCCAATTACAATCTGATTCAAATGCAAATCGGAACGTTTCATTTCTGCAGTTGATTGTACTTGCCATCTATGATCTGACAAAATTGTTCTTCTGCATCTCCTTTTCTGGGTTTGATTATTCAATTAAATGCTGTAGTCAATCAAAGATCAATCTAGAATTGCATTTCAATCAGATTGTCACAATAGACTAGTGTAAAAATATCAATATGAAGTCATTATAATTTGATTGAATAAATATTAGTTTGAAGAGTATTCTATTCATGTAAAATGTATCAATCAAGACAAACAATTTTAAAATAGCTCGTAACATTCAGAATTAACGAATCTGATTCAGACTCGAGCCTCTTAGTGGTACTTACCAGCTTCATTCAAAACTTCACAAAATTTAAAGGCCGTAACAGATGTCAATTCACTTGGTTTAGCCACCACCGTGTTACCAGTAACCAGGGCTGGAGCCAGTTTAAATGTCAGCAGATACAATGGTAAATTCCAAGGGGAAATAAGTCCTGCAACACCCACTGGTTGTTTGATGGTGTAGTTGATGGCATTGGCTTTCTCCAGAATAGTAGAGCTGGAATAATATCAAAATACTGATAATGAAAACAGTAACCATCATGTCACAGTCTAACGATTCTGAAACCCAATATCAATATCAGCAGAGCAAAATGCTGCAAAGACATGGAAAAAAAAACTTCAATCTATCTGATGCGGAACACTGACATAGAATCTATGAAAATCATCAGGTGAAATAATGTCCTTTCCATTAACATTTTTCAAGACAAACATGGAAGTGGAAAAAAGAGTTCACTACCTACCTATTAATATCATGTAGAATACCTGAGGCAAAAAATCTCAGATTATACACAGCCCTAGGAATATCTATTAATTTGGCTAATCGTACAGGTTTTCCCTGATCTCGTGATTCCCATTCAGCAAACTCATCTAATCTTCTTTCTAAGATGTCTGCTGCTTTACTCAAAATATTGGACCTTTCTTGACGTGATGTAGAGGACCATCTTAAAATGTAAACAAACACATACTTGAGAATAATATTCAACATGATATTATTATGTTTTATCTGAATAAGTTTTGAAATTTACTACTATAGCAGGTTGAATTTGACAATACAATCTAAATATTTAAATGAATGTGTTTTGAGATTTACCCGGTACTATTTTGATAATGTATTTACCGGTAAGATACTTGTCATTCTTATATCATACAGTTGAGAAATAAGCATGAATCAATTTAAAGGGACAGTTTCGCCATTGGTTTGACCATTCGTACCTAAGCCTCAGAAATGGGAATATTCAGCTAAGCTAATTAGTAATAGTGTTCACAGCTCACCATCGAAATTTGAGCATTCAAATCCAGAATATGTCCAAAATAATTAAGTTAAAATTACGACTCATCTGTCGGTCAAGTATTTCTGAAGACTATAGTTACAAATACCAGAAAACAGGAAAAATGGGGGTACTTGAGTTCAGATTTTGTCATTGATTCCGTGGGGTTGGAAAGTTTTCAATCTAATAATCCAATGGGGTTCATTGGAGTGTCTAAGGGTAGTGGATTGTGACAGATCCGGGTTCGTGTCAAGTCGTTTGATGATTTGATAGTTGACATTTCGACTGGAGTGACTCGGCAGGTGGAAGTGAGAGGAGACAGGGGTGTCTCTTTTATGGTGAATATCAGCAAAATGTTCTTTCAAGGTCACTCATGTAAATTGTTAAACATTTCCGGAAATCCACGAATAATAGGTTTCCAAGAAATTAGGTTACTTGACTGATGTATATTTAGTAATTTGTTCAATGTCTGAGATTATTATGTCACCTAAATATTATTCTAGAACAAACTAGAAATTATCAATAACCCTATTATTAAGATAAGGTGAGTACATCCTGCAAACTTTATCTAGAGTAATCATTGAGCTCATCTTTACAAAGATTTAATATTGAGAAAGTTGGCATCTGTATATTGATAAGGATCCATCAAGGCCACATTATCTCTTTCAGTAGTAATAAACAAATTGTGTCTTATTTAAAAGGACTTTTGCATATTATCACAAATCAAAGAAGTGGAACAGTTTGTATTTTTGTTAGCAGCCAGAAGAGTAAAATTCTTTGAAAAAATGCTAAACTTGATTGAAAACCACTCAATAGTTTGAAGTTTAAGAATCCAGTTTGAAAATATTAAGATGGCTTGCCAGGCAAGGTAATATACGCCCACTGGCAGCTTTGATTTTAAATAAAAATATTTAGAGTACAGTTACAATCACCAGTATGAAATATTCAACCTTCAGTCATACACTTCTTTTTTTGGGGGTCATACTAAATAATATTATCATGTTGTCAAAATCTGGCAAAGAGCCTTTAAAATGGAACATGTTCTCAAGATTGAGCTAATAACTCAAATAAAATAGTTCTCAATTTTTTTTTTCAAAGGCTCATTCATGGATGATAATAGACAATAAAAATCCAGCATATACAAGCTAAACAAGTTTTCAAGAACAAGGGCAATTTACAAACACTCACATGAAGTTTCGTCAATTTCCGATAGAGCTGTAGAAGGCACAACCCTCAACACATTTGACAAAACTTAGTGAAACTGTCTTTTATCACCCATGGATGAACCCTATTGAAAATTAAAAAGAATGAGAACTAATTTACTGACCTCAATCATGAAAATACATTCAATTTCTAGCTTGTAAATACTAACATGCAGAATTTTTTGACAAATCTTGGCAATATTATGACTCCAAAATTTTCATACTGGTAATATGAATTTGATATGAATGCAGACCGAATTAATTTTCTCATTTAACATTTCAATATTTTAATTTCTAAAGAAGATGAATTTTATTTCTAATGAACTATTTTTATTATGAAAAAGTAAATATTTATTAACAGTTTAAATAATATTTAGAGATGAAGAGCATTGGGAGAGGTAGGCTAGTCCTACACGATCCAGCACAAAGAAATATAAAAATTGGGCCTTATTAACAATGACCCATCATACTTACCCCAAAAAAGCATTTTGAGCAGCTTCAACAGCAAGTTCAACATCATTTTTATCGCTATTTGGTATTGTGGCCCATACATCTCCTGTAGATGGTTCAAAACTATCTAATGTAGACTCAGTTGATACAAATTCTCCATTGATAAAGTTCTTAACTTCGGTTAAAATCATTTTCTCTCTATGATAGGCTAAGTACATGTATATAGATTGTAATCTCACAAGCCCATCGTATTTGTTTATATTATTGGTTGAAGTTCAAGGTCGAGTATTTTGATTGGCTAATAATGAGATGTAGGCGGAGTTTAATAATATCTGGGTTGAATTAAGGGTCCGATAACAGGTAAACATTCATGTCTGATAACAAGGGACATGCAAGTAATATAGAGTTAGGGCTTCAATTGGTAATATATGTTTATTTCAGTATTAAAGGCTTCCAGCCCACTAATATTACTAGTTAAGGGGATTAAAAGAGGTTTTTCTAGCTTTTGTATGTTTATACCAGATATGTAGAGCCTGATTTGCCCAATGTGATTTCCTGTCTTTAATCTTGTTTCTTGAACCTCAGTTTTAAGACCACCTAAAATGCACTGCGAGCCCATTCAATGATTGGCCACTTATAAGTTATGGAAATAGTTAGATCCTATTAAGAAAAATTACTTTTACTTTTATGAGCAACTTACTTAGAATTTAACACTTTATTGTGTAATCCTTAATCATTCAGTGAGTCATTTAATAGAAAAACTGATTGGATGTAAAAGTGTGTTAGACTCTAAAAGTAAAAGTTTTATGTTACGTTATCATATTGCTAGTTGAATATTTTATGAATTAAATGGTTAAAGAGAATTCTACAATATTTGCTATAATGTAGACTTTTCATAGTACGGAAAGCCAATTTGTTATTGAAATGGCATTGAGTTATAAATATCACCTTGATATCCTTGTGGTGTTTTCCAGTGTAAATCAAACAACCACTTATATCTGCTTATAAATTTTATTTTAGATCTCAAACCACATTAAATAGTAATTAAAATCTAGAAATTTCTAAGCACTTATTGACAGCTTGGACTCTCATTCTCTAAAATACTAACATTCAGAAACATTCTTATCTGAAAACTAGCTAAAGATTGAAAACAATGGTGTAGCCTAGATATGTACAGAGCTGTCAAGTTTACATGCTCTTATTTTGTTATCTTGTTTTCTTTCTAGAATTTTAAAGAAAACAGTGGACAAATAGCTTAAGTCATTCTGCCTTGAATACATGAAAATAGGCTAGGCATTACTGTAACAACTGATGGCAGATTGTATGTTTTCTCTTATACAAATTTAAGAGTGAATCACAAAAGCTTAATAAAAATAAAAACTTGAAAAATCAATAAATAAAACTAATAAATATATTTGATTTGAATTAATCATGTATATATACAATAATATTTTTTATCACAGATATATTTTACAGTCAGCAGTATAAACTATTTATATAAAACAAGACAGAAATCATCAGTCTGTAAACTGATTTAATGAACTCTGCTATTTAAATATTTTAATTTTCAGGAAAACAGTAATTTGGAATTTTCAGATGAGATCATTCTATCTTTTTTGGAAAAATTAAGTTATCAGCAGTTAAAAACAACAAGAGAAACAATTCCAGCCTTAATATCTTATCCAATTGTTTCATATGCATAATGCTGACACACAATATAAGTAAGGACATTATAAAAAATAATTCAAATATAGGAGCTGCTTGGACGGATATAGATATACAAATTTAAAGAAGCCTTTCTCAAGACTTAATTTAAAAATAAATTTTGGAAACATTTCCTCATAATCACAGTGAGATTTGGTCCCATAAAACAGTTTTAGTTATCTAATTGACAGAGTAGAGCTGTTCCACGCCCCACCCAGTGTTTCTGTGGTTTATTAGATGGAATCATCATGCCAATAACAAAGTTTGTAGAATGACCAGTGGTGGACAATGTTCCTCGCCGTTCACTTGTTTTGTATACTGGACATTTATAGGAATTATCTTCCACAAGATCAGATCTTTTGATTGGTTTAATCCACATCTAAAAATAAATCAAATAGTTAATTTACAGAAATCATATAGGATTTAGTTAAGAATCACAATCAAATCCATCAGAACATGATAGCATATCTTCAGTTTCGAGCATTTCTGCCTTGGATATGACCAAACAGATGAAATCATTAAAAGAAAATATAGGTTTTCAATACATACCACTGGCATACTGTCAAAAAGAACTTTAGGAAGAGATTCGTTCAGTTTTTTTGTTTTTCGATCCCATCGTGCTCCTTCCAGAAATAATCCATATACATACACACCTATTTAAATGGAAAATTACATTAAAAACAGTTCATGGTTAGTGATAAATAATGTGATGCACTCAATAGACAAAAGGATGGAAAAATATGCATTTGATTTAGTTTCAGTAAGAAAGATTCATATATATATATTGATGATTTGACATTATCATTTATATTTTTCATGTCAAAATCTCGGTCTATCCAGTTCAATACTCCGTTTAATTCTTATATTAAGACAAACTTTATTAACAGTATAACTTCATACCATCATCAGGTGCAACTGGATATTCTTTATCTTCTAATACTTCATAGTCAAAACCTAGTAAATCTATAGGTATTGTGTATTTTCTGGCATAATTTTGTTGAGCTCCCGTCAAGAAAGCTTGTGTGAAGAAAAACCCTGATAGCCAGAAGGTACTTGGTGGTCCATTATCATACCAATCCTACAGCAGAAAACAACATGATTATCTATTAACAAAAATGATCTACTAATTGTGGCATATATAAAGATTTGGTGGCCTTGAATAAGTAATTCTGTCAATCAGAATTAAGACCGTAATATTGTAATTCAAATGTCTCCCTTAATGGATGGTCAGAATGTTAAACATGGGATATAGTGAGATGTAGTCTATTCAGAGTTGACAAGTAGGAACCCCAATGACGTATGATGTGAATTTCGGCAAATCAATGCCAAGATGACAATAGCTCCAAGGCGTTCCTTCAGTACAAAGCTTAAGATAGAATGATGGACTAGTTTAACGTCTCCCTTATTTTTGTTACTTCTATTCATAGAAGTTTATAGACTTCAGACTTCTGATGCATGTCTGATTTTGATAAGTAAGATGCCTATTTATCTTCTGCGTAAATGGTTTAATCATGCTGGACCAATAGCAATTTGATATTATCTTTATCAACAAATATCATGCAATAATAGTAAACAACTTTCATCAACAATGCCAATCTTCAAACACAAAATATTTAAGATAAAATAGAAATAACAAGAATTACCTGTAAGAATTTTAATCTGGCTAAGAAATCAGTAACATAACTTCCCAATGGTTTTAAAGATGGATAAGACCTCTTCATCCACATTCCTGGTATTTTTCCCTTTAATATACTCAATACAACTTCTTCTAATTCTGCTGACATTACAACTAGACCCTGTAAATTAATTATACATCATTTCATCTAGAGCTGGATATTAATTACACAATCATAATAGCTAGACCCTAATATTAGTTATACAATCATTACAACAAGACCCTGATATTAGTTATACAATCATTACAACAAGACCCTGATATTAGTTATACAATCATTACAACAAGACCCTGATATTAGTTATACAATCATTACAACAAGACCCTGATATTAGTTATACAATCATTACAAGTAGACCCTCATGTGAGTTATACAAACTAGTGGTAATTTGAACTGCACTTCATTAAAATTTTCTAATCAAATAGTAAGAGGAAAGAAATATTTACCAACCTTAATGGCCTTTCTGATATTGGAAAGACTTGATCTGACAACTTCTACAAGACGATTAAAGCGAACCATTTCTTGAACTAATACAGTATTCATACTCTGTTTATAAGATGTAGGATATTTACGTAGAGCAGCATCATTGTCAAAATTCGGTGGTAATTTACTTAAAATATCTGCTGCTACTTCATCTACTACATCATCAGTTGATTTTCCACCTTCTGAAGATGCTTTAGCCTGAAATACAATCAGATCCTGTTCAGTACTTGTTTATACCATAACTTGAAAACAACATAATCTTGATATTTGTTTTTTTTTCTCAGTGGGTGACTCCATTTGCCATCTATGATCTGATGAAATTATTTTGCATCTCTTGTTCTGGGTTATTTAACATTCAACCAATCAAATGCTCTGTTTTATAAATTAATGAAATATTTTTTTGATCAACATATGTTGATGCTATAGGGTGCAACTTTCACAGAACAAGATATAAAGCAAAAACTCATCAGATCATGATTAACAAATGTAGAAACCTGTAGAAATGGTTATGCATTATAATGAAATTGAATTGAAAACATATTTTATATTGAATAATACCAATAAAAAATTGACAAATATATTGTTAAAAAACTTTGAAATGACAGTTTATTGTTTTCATAAAATATATAATGGTGATCTCATTCAGTATTTTTATACATTTGGCATACACAAGTAAATAGTAACTAACTACTACTGAGCTAACATTAATCAAAATACATATCTCTACTATTCTTTGTTTGATCTATACTCTCTAATCTATATTATATTTTATCATGCATTAAAATTTCAAAAATTTGAATTTATATTTTGCAGTAAGCTTATATGTCAATCAATATAATGATATATTTCATGCTATTTGTCCAGTGTTGTGGAAATATTTTGCAATATCCAGGTTATGTGACTAGCTGTGGGCAAATGCAGCAAATCATTCAAAGGTTTTGTACCCAGAACTTCTTTTCAGCCTGCAAGGAGAAGGATCAAACACTTAAAGCCACACAAAGGGATAAAGTAAGGAGAGGGTAAGAGATAGTGAGTCCACTTTGTTTCTCCAGATAACTGAAGGATCTGTCTTTTTTTTTTTTTTGATTATTTCTCTAATAATGTCCACAAATTTATAAAAGATTCAAAATTGTTTACATCTACTTCTATGTGATAAATTTGAAAAGGTGAAAACATCCATGGCAATAAAAATTTTGATGAAATAAAAGGAAATATTCCGGTTGAAATTTGGTCAATACCGTGGGATTGTGAAGGAGAGAGTCACTGGAAGAGTTATATTTCTTTTTCTGAAAAATGTTCATTTGAAGAAATAAATATTGGAAAATGTGTGAAAATATATGGCAGCATGTGAACTTCAGCAGCCTTTGTATTATCATGGGAACAGGATGTGCTCCATTTAGGTCTGCAATAGTTTCAGTGCAGGGATTTTATCAGATTATAATGTGTTCAATAATTCATATTATATAAAGTGATAATATATTTAGGGGGAATGTTAAGGGATATTTTTTTTTTCACATGTTTTTTTGTTTATCCCCAATACCTGTTTATATTCATTATTATAGAGAAATTTTGTTAGATAACCTGGTCTCAAATGTTCAAAGCTTATTATATGCTACATTAATACAAGAAATGAAGAAATTATTAGTTAGATAAAAGAAAAGCATCAGAAGCTATACAAAGGGGAATATTAAATAAAGGATTAAAGAAATAAAGGAAAAATGGAAGTAATCTATGACCCCCTATGGAAAATTATGTATTAATTAGCTAAGGCAGACTGTTAAGTCTATTTCTAAGAATGGATTAAATAGCTAAAAGATGGAAATTTGAAACTTTCAAACTTGTTGATAGCTATCTTACCCTTTTCTGTTGAAAATATAGAAACATTGGATTAGCTCAGGCATTATCAATTATAATCATATGTCATGTAACAAAGAGATAAAATTTCTATTTCTGGGTCTCTTCAATAAGTAACATTTATCAATATTGTCACTGTCAAGTGCCCAGTTTAAAACATTGAAATACTAAGCTTATATAATAATCAGATAAAAAAGTTTGAGTTGGACACAACTGACAAATACACTAGCCCTTGCTGTCTTGACCTTGATGTCCAAGTCTTCAATGAGGCATAGTAAGATTGTATTGGTATTCCGGCAAGATATTGCTATAAAAGTGAATTATTATTAAGTAAAAGATTACCTGTGTCAATAGAATATTATCAAACAATAATTGTGTTTCTGTCTGATCTTTTTTAATATCAGCATTAGGATGCATACCAAATATCTCTGGGGATGGATTCAATGGTAGATTATGGGTGTAATTAATATAACTTTCATGCTGAAAAATACAAAAGTACATATTAAAATGATTCCTAATAACACAATATTTTACAAATTACGTTCATTTTTTTTTTTTTTTTAGTAAATTGATGATATGTTGGTAAACAAGTAAGATGATTTTATTAACTAATAAGACATATTTTGATTAATTTAAAAGAGTAGACTAATCATTTTCTCTACAAAAGATCAAAAGATTAAATATAAGAAAAAACCTCCAGACTTACATCTCCTTCTGGTGGTGCATAATAAATTCCAGAATGATCAAAATGATATTGATCATCTTCTGTAATTTCTTTACAGTAGAACTTATTTAATATGGTTAACAATGTACGTCTATCCCAATCATCAGTTACACGACCTCCATAATTACATTCTCCAGTTAAATATCGTAGAGCATCAAATTGTACAGTCTGAAATTAAAATCAGAAAAAGTTCTGTTTCCCGAAAAGTTTTCACTTTAGTAAGGATACCCATATTCTTTATCTGTATCTATAAGCTTACATTTAAAAGATGTAATAAAGATGTAGAAATATCAGTTCACTTGAAGAACATTAATAATTAACTTGTACCCCACAGTGAAGATAACTTTTTATTTTGATTCTCTAGTTAATGTTTATATCTAATGTCATGTGTTTGTTTTGTATTTTTTGGAAATGTTAACTCAATATATTATGCATTTTTTCTCTTCTGAACTTTGGCCTACTATCACCTTGTATTTTTATTTACTTACATCATAGTCATTTAAAAACATAGCAAGTTGTTGAGTACTGATACGTAAATCAGTTTCGTTAAATTCATAGGGTATATTCCATCCTAGTGGACCAAATTTACGTCTTTCTTGTACCAAGGCATGGAAGAAACATAAACCATACAACATCTTCCTAAATTCTTTCTAAAAATACAAAATAAATAATAGACATCAGATCACAAATATATGGGACATAGATTTAGGATTTGCTATTTTATTAACAAATTTCTGTGCTGTTAATTAGTATTGCTAAAATTTGGTGTGTTCTGTAGCCATAATGGAATTAGGTACTGTATTATAGCCGTGCGAAACAGGATCATTGGATTAACAGAATCAATATTCTGTTCTGAGTCAGAAGCGTGTGGATATCAGGGTTTCTGGAATCTGGATTATCAGCAACCAGATCAATGCAGCTCCACACTACATGAATTTAATCAGAAATTGACTTACTTCTAATTTGACACCATTAAAGAATTCTGGGTCAGATATAGGATCTGACATGTAAGATTTAATAATATTAAATCGTAATCCTTTTGGTGGTTCATTGGTCATCTTGACACCATTTTGTAAGATGGATACTGGAAAAGTTGTTGATGGGTAACTTGTCAACCACAACCGGAAATCAGGATGAGTTGTTTCAGGATTTAATTCCTGTAAACAATCATTAATTATCATTCATAAACTGAATCTTCTAGACTGTGACAATGTTTCCAAAAAACTCATATACATATCCTTAATTTAGTTGACACGAGGATTAGACTAAAGCAAGCTCTCTATAAAACCTTTCAATATCCAGCATATATGTAATTTTGTAAGCTCATAGGTAAACCAATTTAGCACAGTTTCGATATAAAGATATATTCATACTGCAATTTGTATAAGTAATTGTATGTGTGTGAAATACTATTTCAATCATCTACTATACTAGCTGTTGTAATTAAATACAATTTGTGAAAGAAGAGTGAATGTTTTAAAAACTATCTATTTGTATATTAAGAATCTAAGCTCTTATATAACAAGTCTACTCATTCTTTCCTCATTTTAATATTGTAATATTTTAACCAGCATGCATGTGCTCCAGCAGGTACAAACTTATCCAGTTCGTCTGAGATAAGTATGTTTTCTAAATTAATTCAACTTCCTAATAAATTGTGAAAGAAAAGAAATTCTGTCCAATAAATTATAGATATTACCGTAATTTTATACATCCTCTTTATAAGTAAATTGTAATGTAACATTGAAATTTAACAAAAAAACAAAGTCAGTAATGGAAACAATTCATCACAAAAGAGAAAAGAACATTCATGTGGGCATATAAAACATTACAGCTGTTCTTAAGTCAAACCTTTCTGACATTACTGATCCTTATTAACAGCAAGGACAACCAGATTCTGTAAAGAATATTTTGAATATTTGGACATTAAAACGTTATAAATGAAATTACCTCACAAATCTTCTCAAGGGTAGGCATCCAGGATGCAGCCAGATGACAATTCTGTAACATGACCCATGTCCCCTCTTTAATACCTTTCTCTATCATTTTCAAAGCAATTGGACCTTGACCTTGACCCAAGGACAGAGAATCAAATTTGGCACCTCCAAAGCCCTGAAATTTATAAAATAATGTTAAAGTAAGATTCACCATGGTAGTTGATTTAGGTCATGTATATAATATATTATGTACATAATCTTCAGAAGTATAATCCCTTTAAGAATACCTTCAACTTGGAATTTTCTTTTTTTTCTCAAGAAATGCGAGTCGTTAATTTAACTTTCAAACATGGATAATTCTATTGAGCTGATTTCCCTAACTCCTACCAAAAAGCAACTTACCTGGTCATCTGCAAATTTCAATAAAGCAGCCATAGGATCAGCACCAGGAGATAAGATAAATAACAATGGTGCTATACAGGTACTGTCACCATAGGAACCAGCTAAATCAAACGGTGGAGGCTCAATGAATTTTTTACCAATTTTCTCTGTGACAAATTCTTGGACAGCTGGTATGACCTATAATACATAATATACCTATACAATTAAAACAAAGTAAACATTGTTTACATGATTATGACAAATTATAAACTTGACAAAGTAAAGTTTCCTCAACCAAAGAGTAAGCTATTCTCATTCAAGAAAGACTCTAAATTGAAATCATGTTACAATAATAAAGTATTGATCACATCTATTATAGATTATTATAAAACAAACCTTATCTGGTCGTAGACATCTCAGAACTAACATTTTCTGGAACATTCCAAGACGATCATTCCACTCCCCTGGATGCTTTTCATGATGTGGCTCCTAAAAAAAGTTAATGAATATATGAACTGTTTTTCAGACCTCAAATGTGGTCAAGGAATAACAATATTTCGAAAGCTCATTAGAATTCAGTTTTAAGTGCAAACATGTTGATTTTGTTGGAAAGAAGGTGAAACATATTCTAAAGATCTATACAGCAGAAGCCTGAGAAATTTCTAAACAAGATCATCAACTTACTGGGCTATCATAAAGAACCTTCCATGCATCTTTATAGTTGACAAACTTTTTACGAATATCTTTAAATCTGGGCATATCATCTAGACGACATAACTCATCCCAAGATTTACTGGGTAGCCATGTTGTTGGGTTGCTATGGGGATTGTCTAGGCCAATACCACCAGTCAGTAAGAATCGCCATTCATCATCATCAACCTCCTTGTTATGTTTCAAGATATTTACACACAGTAAAAATGAGAACAGTAACTGAAAAGAAATTAAACTGACTGAATATTCATTGTAAAAGAAAAAGGGACATCTTGTGATACTTCAGAACTGAAAAAAGCATTCATTGCCATAGAAATGTAAAGAATACATGGCCTACTTCGATCAGAAATATTTTTGCAAGAACCATTAAATAAACAATGTTTTCGATGAGTATGATAGCAAACAGTTGACTACCTCCTCCCACATATTTTACTAGAGTGATAAAACATTTTATATTAGCATATGGCCTATTACATTTTCATGTAAAATCATAAATAAATGACAATGAACTGAGCTACTAAAAAAAGATTCAATTTAACTCAACTCACCTTGTCCTTTTCAAACAGTGATCTACAGACGTTACAATACAAAGAGTATGTAAAGTGATTATGTAGATTTCCAAGGCGTGTTTCCAAGTCGTCTGATCTCTCTGCGTTTTCTATCGACATGACGAAAAGGTTAATGAACCATGTTAAGGAATATTGATACATAGGTTCAATATTTGCTAAATCTGCGATGGAAAAGAATAATATGGTGCTGTGAATGGCGATTGGTTTATATCCTAAACGAGCTGTATCAATCTTCTTTTCAGTTTCATCAGCAATGGCTTGTTTTTCAGAAATCTCGTTAGCCAGTTTCTTAGAAGATGACAAAACTTTAATGGCTGTTTCATCTTCTAGAATGTTTCCTTCTGAACTCGACAAAACTTCTAAAATCTTGTCTTCAATTTCTTGTAATTGTCTGAAATATGATAGAAAAAAAAAAAGATAACAAATTGCTGGTACAGGTCTGGACAAACAGTCTTACCCATTTAAAACTTCTAAAAAGTAATTAAGAATACAAATCTCTGAAAATAGACCTATATTGTAATTGAAATAGCAGGGCATAAAACAAATTAATAATTAACCTCTTATTATCTGCTGACTGGATAATCAAAGCATTCTTTTCTTCCTCCAATTCTGGTCTCTCCTTGGCAACCACAATACCTAGCAATTGATCTTCTAAACCTTCTGGTGTGATCATAAAATTCAACAATGTTACCTGAAAGAACATTTAAGATGTTTAAATTCAATTTCTAATATTTTGACTATTAGCTTATATAAATCAATTAAAATTTCAATCATTTGGGCAATTGAATAACTTTATAAGTGTGGTAATTCTTTTAAAAGGTATTGATCTAATGGGTTTGTGGTCAGATAACCTAAATGCAGAAACATAGTAACTGGCCTTAATCAAAGTAGACTTATTCTTATTCATTCATTAATCAATATATATACTTCAGATATTAAATTATCATTGGTCAACATGTTTGATATAGGGGTTAAATTCCCAATTTATGACATAAGTAAATGAAATCATTTGTAATAATTGATAAAGTAAAGAAGAACTTACTTTAACTGATGTTTCTGGTAAGTAATGTGGATTACGTAGTTTAGTTGTGATGTAGAATTTAAAATCTTGTGAATACTCTATAGTACTATCACCTAATTTAATACAAATACTACCACCCTGTTTAAATGTCTGTTTTAATAGTAGAGGTTCTAATAGTGGGTCCAATTCTTCTTGAATATTCTCAAGCAATACCTGATAAAAAAACATAAATTTATATCTTAATATTTCCTAGAACACATTCCAATTTGTATTTTTTCTTCTGGCTTGCAAAAAGGATTCCAACATTACTGTGTATCCAACTTTAACTAAGCTAAAATCAAGACTTCCTCAATATTAAATCAAACACATTTATAAGTTGCTTGCTAAATGAAGAAAAAGCTTCAATACTTACTGGAGTTCCAAACTGGATGCAATTCTCCAGAGTTCGAACAAAATCTGCATCACTGAGTTTTATCACATGTAAATTATTCGCTTTCTCCATATTCTTGACCCATTTATTAGCCTGACCCTGGGGATCAATCATCAAAGGCCAACGTCGTCCATTACTAAAATAAGTGAGAAAAATCAGCAAAATATAACAAACACAGCTGATCATGAATCTGTCACAAAAGTGCTTATGAAAACAACTAATACAATAGTACAGTGACATCAATCTACTCTACAAAACTAACCTGATAATGATTCCATTTTCCACAGAGAAATTATCAGTTGGTAATCCAGCAATATTCCAGGCTCGTATTTTAACAGGTTCTCCCAGAGTATTGACCAGTGAGAAATCATCAGAACAGGGAATACCATTACTCTTAATTTCCGATATCCATTGGGTAGATTGATCCTACAATAATAATATAACATTATGTTTTCTTCCTTCAATAATTTAAACTTTTTGATTAACAAGATTTGTTCTAATTCAAATCAAGTTTTTCAACTGTTTGATATAGTGTAATTCAATTTTTTCACTTGTAATTTCAGGAAATATCGTGGACAAGAAGCTTGGCCATGAACATACTGACAGTTTATTTGGAACTTTTATCACTCTTATGAGTTTCTTATTTACTATTAAAAGTTTTCTATGAAACTTACCATTCTAAAAGCTGATGTAAAGGCACCAAGATAAGCCACTATACCAGAAGAAACTAAAACATCACCAGTTAAATTGATGTATTTTTTCCCCAGTTCTCTAGCAGCCACACTCCATCTATAAACAGTACAGTTCTGATTAACACTCACACTTAGATTTCAAATACATTTAGTTTCAACCATAGAAACTATGCTGGGTATAGTTAGGAGCAGTGACAACTCTGACCATGTCTGGGGATCTTTGATCAGCCAGGACCTCTTGGTTTATAATCTCTTGTGCTCTGATAGAGTCTAAAGAATCTATCTCAAGAACTATCTAATATGCGAAATTAAGGTGAAGCCATGTTAATAAAAATTTGTGCAAATGAAGAAACAGCCACTAATAAGAAGAATGAGAAAGACATGAGTTCTATTACCTGTCTCTTTCACCACCAAGTCCACCAATCAACTGTTCAGCTCTCTCTAATTTCTTAGAACACAGATCTACTTCATTTTCTAAATCTACCTTCTTCTGTTTGTTTTTAGCTAGTTGTTCTTCTAGTTTGAATAACTTCTCTTGTACTTCTCGTAGAGAGGCACGTTTCTTTTCTAAGGATGCCATGGCAACATTCAATTCACCCTGGGCTTTCTTCAAAGCTTCTTTCTTAGGAGCAACAACTTTAGCAACTCTAAAATATTTGGAAGTTATATGTTTAAATAAAAGAGGTTGTGAGTGGAATAGAGAACTAACCCCTAGAGAGGGGAAATGAAACTAAATTAAGTTTCCATCGAAAAAGAAATATGAACCTGATGTTTTTTTGGTTATGAGGTAGATATTGATAATCAACACATACCTATCATAGACATCCATAGCTCTAGCCCATTTACACAGACCTTCACAAGCTGTGGAGGCTACTTTTACTTTCTCTGGATCAAAATCAGGATTTGTCATATACTTAGATCGAATAATTTTCATTATTGATACAGGGATATTATCCTGAAAAGATTTAATGAAAACCTCATACTATATTAATAGTGTAAATATGGAGGACACGAGCTATAAAACAATGCTACCTCTATACTCAAAAGTAGTACCCAAATATAAATATTGTCATACATCTCAAATTTAAGAAAAAAACATGCATCATCATTATTGAGTTACTTGGTTTATAAATCAAAGTACTCACTATTTTGAGTTATGATCAAACTTCATACCTTATCAAAATTGTATAGTGATTCTAAGAACTTCATGTCACCCAGTAATTTTTTGGATGGACCCCAGAAGTCTTCAATTTTCTTTCCTGAACCAGACGGGTCAGGTACTTTTTCAGCCTTGACACCTTTCAATACACAGATAGCTTCCATAACCAGACGTACACCAGCAGGTGGTGATTTCATACTCTTTACTAATGTTATATCCTAAAATAGATTATAATGGAGTTAGTTTAAAATCCCAGTCTTGCCCTGAATCTATCCAACCAGAATGTATTAAGTCTTATATTTAGCTGTTCAATGGTTTAATAATGATTCTACTTCAAGTCTATGCAGTTTCGTTTTGGTATGTTTTGAAATAAATAACTTGTTTAGATCAATATGGCGACTTTTAAGAAATTTGATTCAAATTATTGTGTCTGACTGCCATGGGGGCTGCTAGTAGACAAATTGTGGGGTGTGTATTTAAATTTAAATTGTGTAAAATATGTCAAACCTGGGGTGTGAGAGTATTTAAAGCAGCAATAGCAGCATTTAAAGCTGGGATAGCTTCACTTAGTTCACTATCACAGTCATCTTTGATGGCTTGGGCAGCTTTAGCTTGTTCATTAGCTACAGCTTCATCAGCTTTTACAACCTGTAAAACAAGAACATAGGTGTTTTACTTCTGTTTTAGAATGTGATTATAACAAGGAACATGACTGTCAATATACTTACCACCTCTAATTTAATTGTTATGTTGTTCACTTAGGGAAGAGACCAATTTTTTTCAAAATACAATACAGGGTTCAAGATTTAACTAACTATTTTTAACACCAAATTTTATTTTTAGCTAAACAATTTGGATTAGCATTTCCGAAAAATTCGAAAGCAATCTAGAATGTTCCAGTAATAAACCTTCACATACAATTTGATTTGATCGTCGTGATAAATTTTACATTTGGCTCATCAAAGGAAATATTGTCTTGCAAAAACTTACACACTCAACTTCAAATAAGGTTGAAAGCAGACTATGTTGGTACTTACCTTCTCAACCTTAGCTACTTCAACGGATTCCTTCTCAACCGTTATCATAATTTCTGCTACTTCTTTACTGGCCTCTACCAACTGAGGCTGCAGATCTGTCAACTCTTTCTGCATAACAGCTACTTGGGATGCTGCTGAATCTAATTTTTCTAAACCTACTTCATATCTCTGTTTCTGTTTCATAACTTCACTGTAATGTGAAGAAATTATAGAGCTAATTTGAAGTCGATCTAAATGAATCGTATAAATAGTATATCTTACTTATGTGCACCACAATGGATAACAAAAAACACCAGATCTGCAACAAATCTTTTGGTGTGAAGCCGGTATTTGACTAACTTTATAAATATGTATCACTGCAAATCAGTAAGCCTACTAGGCTTTTCAAAATCCACAAAGAAAACTATTGTATCACAGTAAAAAGGAACATTTATTAACTCACCCTCTCTTTTTATCCAGTAAAGTTTTAAATGTATTGATTAATTCTAGATAGGATGTAGGGGTCACATAGTTATGTCGTTCTAACTCAAGTAAAAATCTATCAGATAAATCTCGAGTAGAGGTATGGAATCTAATACACATACTAATACATCCATTCTTCTCAGCATCTGGCATTTCTATCTCTTCCAGGAACCGCATTGCTACAGCCTGTAAAGCATCTTCTGGCCAAGACTACAAATTAATGGCAAATCATAAATATATGTATAAAAACTTTTCAGATTTTGTTCAAATGGAAGCAATATTTTGTAATTTCTTTATGGTCAAAATACAACAATTACTCTGAATAGTGATGAGATTTCTGAATTTTGAACATAAGCTGCAAGTTTAGCAAGTGCAAATTTTCAGATGTTCAATACTTCTTCTCTTATTACTCTTCAAGAAATTTCAAAAAGATCATGGAAGATTACAGATGTGACCAAGATCCCACTTGATAACAGGTATATCCACTGAACACTAGTTGTCAAATATAAACATTTTTTCCTTACTACAAATAACAAAACAAAATATCACAACAATATTTACCTGGAACCAATCTATTGTACAGCAATTAACAAGTGAAGGAAATTTTCTCAATCTGTTACGGAATGAATCACCTATAGGACTCATAGCCAGAACAACATGAAGTTGATCTCTAACTCTTGAGATAAAGAAGTTAAATAAAGACACCGGAGAGCCATCTGTTTGCTTTGTTTTATCTCTTTGTCTGAAAACAGCAAAAATGTCCATGAAATCATATACTTTCCTCTGATGTCTTAAGTACATATAAATTTGATATACTATATCTTAAGTTTGTATATATAGTAATATTGCCGAAAGTATAAAATAAGCATACATGAATATCTATGGATCACTGGATTCCAGAAATTTCATTCAAATATTGTCAGTTGTGATATAAATGATTACAAAGATATGTGTGGAAGTGTTCCCTTTTTGTCATCCACTTTGCTTTTCATTCTGTCACAAACTCAGTTACACACTAACTTGTTGACCAAATATTGAATAAACAGACATGCAGTGATTGAGTGAAAATATAACAATAGATATTTTGGTTTAGTGATCTTCATAGATATTTAAGAATCCATTAAGTGTTGTTTAATGTTGCCACACGTGAATCTTACAAAGGGGTAAAGGATCGTAAGAAGGAATATAGTAGTGTCAATTCTGTATGGAATTTGGGAGTGATCCTTGACAGCACCTTTCAATAATAAAGCTATCAATGGATTGAGGTATTTGGGTTCATCAATTAAAACAAGATATACTAGTTTCTATCTTACACACCTGTACCTTGGGTTCCTTTTAACATAGAAATTTCATTAAAATATTGCACTTATTTAAGGTGTTGTATGAATTGGACAATGGGTTTATATGAGGTTAGACAAAGAAGTCAAATAGACAAAAAATAAAAGAAATGCATGGCTGACATAAATTTGAAAAGAATCTGCATCAAATCATAGATCTATTCTAGCACTGTTATCTGCTAATGAATTTCATGTTCTGGTATAAGATACACTGATAAAGGCATAGGGTTAATCTCTATTCTTACAAGATCAAAGGTTAAATATAGCCAAGCCTACCTATCAATTTGTCTCATCTTTTCACAAATTTCCTGTTTTTCATCCAATGGGTAAAGATTTGGTACTTCACCAGCATTCAATAAATTATTGATATCTTCTAAAAATGATTCTTGTTTGATCTAAAAACAAAAATTACAGTTGTATAAGAAAAATCCTGTTCATTTGTTGACTATTAGAAATATATCAACTATTTTTACATTTAAAAGATCATATTATATTGAATTTCTGTTTAAAGAATAATAATAACATATTGCACTAGACTTTGAATTAATGATTAACTATATTACATATTTAGTTCTTTACAAAAATCACCTACAAGCCTTTATAGAAAAACGAATAACGAATTACTGTTTTAACTGTTGCTATTGTTTGTTAAAAGTAAATAGTTTCAGACGGTCCCGATCTTTTTTAACTGGAAGCAATTCCAGCAGCCTATTAATTATTGTTCATTGATTAACTGTCACTTATCAAAAACCCCGTATTTAACTAATGTAATTGTCCGATAGTGTTTTGTGGCTTATTGACTGGAACTAGCTGTTTACAGTCAAAAATTTTGTACTTTCATTTTCATTTTTTAGAACTTCACCTATGCTTGAAGTCTGGTAAAGCTGCCCTGTCGGTCATGTTAATATAGTTAATAGCCTAGTTCAAGATAAAATTCCACAATCAAACCAACCTGAGTATCAGAGAAGAGAAATACAGCATGATTATCAGTTTCTGTTGATTTTCTTAAAATTCTTTTCAAATCTTCTCTCCATTCATATTGAGTATAACTCTTAGTTATTTCAACCTAAAACAGGAAAATACTCAGTTCAAACTTCACAGCAATGTATTGGTGTTCAAAATCTCTTGCTTCTGAATTAAAGGTGTTCATGAATGTGACCTCTTATGACACAATCTCATTTGCAGCTCAAATTCTATTCTATTCCATCCAAATAAAATTAGCTTTGAAAATGAAATGAAGCTAAATAGACAAAACCTACCTGGAATAAGTCATAGTCTGCCATGTGAGCAGCCAGACGTGTTAATGATTGACGCCCAGAACCTCCTACACCAACTAATAAAGCATGACTTCTTGGTTGTTTTAATATACGGGCAATTCTTGATACATGCTCAATGGCAAATCTAAATTCAAATGTAAAGAATGCAGTTAAAAAATTTACAATGCTCACTAATATTTTACTTATCATGATGTTATTTCAACATCTCTTTATGATGTATCATTGAATTATTCAGACATTGAACTGGATTTGTTTGTAATCAAATATCCACAGTATCAAATGATAACAGCTAAAGCCAAATAAAGTTGGACTTTTAGAACTTGGATGCTTTCAGATAAATGCCTCAAAGTTAAAATATCACTTACCTAAAGAGGACAAGGTTCATAGGCTTTTTACTCATGTTGTTAAATTCTTCTAAATATACTTCCACTACACGACGTAGTTGTTCCAAATCATGAACCTCCAAATAGTCCTTCTTGTCAGATTTAGGATCAGAAAAATCACAGAAAATTAAGCTTCGGAGATCATCCTCAGTCAGTTTTCCATCATTATCTCTATCCAAGTGAATGAGCAATTGATCAAAGTCTTCTTTTAGTTTAGATTTGGATACTTCACGTAGGTGATTATAGAACCAGGTATGATCTGTTGAGTCCACTAATCTGTCATAAAACACACGATACACCTGAAATATAACATCATTAATAATCTAATAATTACCTGTAGATAGGTTTCCGTATAGATCGAACGTCTTATTTCCAAACCTTTCATTACTTGACCTTAACCCAATGCTCATCTATTTGCAGTGTGCTTTTTTTATAGACTATCTTCCAGATACAAAACGAATGTGACAGACAAGCTTTTAATAACGACAGTAACTACCTCATGAATCCAGAGACGTTTCATAGAGCTGGGTTCTTCCATGGTATCAGGAGTAGAGAGTAATACCCCCTGAATCACACGACTAAAATCTCGTAAATTAAATAGATAATGTGATTTAGCTGGTGTTGGTAGAAGGTTCTCCATAGCTTCTTTATAAACTTGTAATGTTGCATGCACAATTTGATCTATACATGGTTTAAACTCGTTACTAAAACCTCTGTAAAATAATTAACACAAATTAATTGACACAAATAGTCACTCATTAATATCTAAACAAATAAACCTTTTTCAGTTTGTTCTATAAACATTAATTGATTCAACAATGATTAGGTTTATCTGTGAATTCAACTTAAAACTGATTAGTAAAACCTAAAGGTACTCTATGGTATGTACCTTTACAAGAATTCTCCAAAGTTATCATATAAGTAACTAACTTTACTCTTGTCATAGATAACCTACCTAGATGTTATGTGCCAATCCATTATACGTCTAAATATAGTATTCATAGTATCATCATCAAATTCATTGATAGTTACTGTATTCATGTGACGTAAAAATCGTGGGGTAACTTGATTTCTACCACCACCTGTAATAGAAAATAATTACCTCAAGATTAAACACAAAATCAAAGAGATTGAGTCAACAGACACAAATAGTACATTGCTCAATATATTATTCTAAGGCCCTGTTTCTCATAGACATGTTCCAGAGAATTTGAGCATAAGACTTTTTGAGAATAGGGCATTATAGATACCAACCAAGATTCTGTGTCTGAGGTATATAAGTGAGGCAACTTCCTTATCACTTTTCATATCCCAATTCCATTTTCTCCTTACAAAATATAAATAAAAATCAGCTAAAAAACCAAGCAAGACTTACCTGGAGGTCCCATAGCACCCATAAACTGTATATCAATAAGTTTAATAGGTGTTGTGTCTTTTAGATCGTACCAATTCCAATGATCTAGCCATTGTCGTATTAATTCTATAGGTGGTTGAGCACCATATACTTCTCTTATAGGCATGTTCAAATCATCCACAAACACAACCTGGTTAAATACAATTATTTGGAAGATATGATTGATGTGCTCTTTGTTGCAGAAAATATATGAAAACTGGAATTTCCATATGGCTTGAAAATTCAAACAAGAGATCTATCAAACTATTCACATTCAAGATCAAAACCGAATCAAACTCATGATATTATATACCATTGATAAATCAAATATTTTTATAGCAAGATCTTACTTACAGCTTTTTTACCAAGAGGAGGTCCAAACACTCCCTTTCTTCTCTTATCTAGTTTAGACATGATGATATTCTGTGTCTGATTAGCACTGGTTTGAGCTGAGAAGTTGATAATATTAGGTTTATACAAGGTCTTGTCTAACTTATTCAATAAAAATTCCTGAAAAGACATTTCAAATAGATTCAGGATATGTTTTAAACATGTGATAAAATAAATCAAAATCCTCAAAAACGATCAAATATAGACACCACGGTTTATTGATTAGAGCCACCAGGTTGGACGTTAATATATTCCATTAGATCTTTAAAATATAAGTTATCAAGACTTACAATAATATAGCAGGATTTTCCAGTACCAGTTGGGCCCACAAATAAACTGGGTTTTTCATGTAAAATCAGTAAACTCATGAGATAGGTATATCGTACTGTATCTATAGTAGGTACTATTATCTCATTGAAGGCTGCATCTTTAGGTATTGGTGGACTGTCTTTTATTTCTTCAGAAAACAATACCCATTTACCAGCACCCTGTATACAGAATATACAATTATAAAAACCTGAACACAATCGGAACATACAAATATAAAAACCTGAACACAATCGGAACATACAAATATAAAAACCTGAACACAATCGGAACATACAAATATAAAAACCTGAACACAATCGGAACATACAAATATAAAAATCTGAACACAATCGGAACATACAAATATAAAAACCTGAACAAAAACCTGAACACAATCGGAACATACAAATATAAAAACCTGAACACAATTAGATTATACAATTATATAAAAACCTGAACACAATAAATAATGTAATATAAATGTGTTCAGGCCATTGATTTGGATATAATTGCCAGTCTTGAATGGATAAAAGTGACTAATAGTGCTCAGGATATTTCAACTAAAAATTGGATGATGATGATTTTAATCAATAACGATTTTACTAACCTCTTTAATAAATCTATAATCATAAACTTTTCCTTTTGGTGGGAAGGGATTCAAATAGGGTTTCATAGGAGGTTCCACAAGATCTGACAATACTAACATCTTTCTAGTTTCCTCTGTCATACCTCCCTGAAAATTATACACATATAGATACAAATATGGTTGTGTATTATTATCAGTCATAAACAGTAAATACAGTACATCTCATATTGGTTATATTGAATGTCAATGCAAGCTACAGATTTATATACCATTTAAATTGTTAATTTTTGGACTTCAGGGTTAATTAGCCCAAAACTAAATGAAGATTTATTAAATTATTCAAACAATAAAGTTTTGTGACTTACAGAAATAAGTTCTCTGAAGATTTTATCAAATTTAACTCGTCCCATATCATCTGAACTGGCACCAATTGACCAAGTTGTAGCAAAGAAAAAGATACTCTGTAAGAAAAGATATTAATTCTAAAAAATTACTTTCTTGAAAAATGGTGCAATATTGATTCCCTAAGCTTAGTTTTAACATTGTTCTTATACTGAAGTACTCCAATAATCATCTGGTCCAATAGATTGATAAACTATTATATAACAATTTGTTAATATTCGAATAACAATTTAGATGCCAGGATGCAAAAAAATCAAATTGATCTTACCTCCAGCCACGTTGTTATCTCCCTTTCTTCCAGTTGAGCAATCTTAGCCTCATCTTGGAACTCGTCAAATAAACAATCCATTAAATTCATCAATGATTTCACCAAATTAGAATCATTAGTTGGTGATAATTCCTAGAAATAAATCATTTATTTTACCAACTTTTAAAATAAAATAATGTAATAAAATACACCAGTGCAATATTGAGAGACTTGTGGCTTCTGATATGAACAACCACTTAAGTCGAATTTGTCGAATTCGATTTGGTCTAAAAACCATTTATCCTGTATCAAATCAAATTTGATTATGGTAATCAGCGCATTTATTGTAGCAGCGAATCAAATTGATATACGTTAATCGAGTAAATCAACTTTGGAGCGTCGTATCTCTGTTAACTTCCGCTTTAGTAATGGCGCCCAACATGTCAAAGTTCAACTTGATCAGGAGAGGTATAGATAATTTCTTCCTGCCTTTGCACTATCTTGGAAACTATAAATAGTATAATGTTCATTTATCCTGCAGTATAAATCAGATTCGATTTGTGACGTCATTTTGGTTAGGGTAATCGAATCAGATTTAAGTGCGTAAAAATGCCTTTATTTTTGGATTGCATCCATGAAATTAGCCAACAAAGTGAGTGGGAGAGAATAATATCAGTACTGGTACTTTCAATTTCTCCCACAATCCTCACTGTTTCAAAAAGCAAAATTGATAATCCTGTCAATTTACATAAAGATTGAATCACCATTAATCCCTTAAAACAATTCACACCAATATAGATTCTCATATAAATCCACTGAATGAAAAAATCTTACCTTAACCCCTCCTTTACGTACAACTCGTAATAAAGGATCAATAAACCTTTCAAATAGATCATTTATAACTGTTTTATAGTTGTCTGTAAATGTTGAAGGTAGTGTGTGTAACCAGGATTTAACTAATGGTCTCCAACCCAGAGAGGAAGGTTCCATATAGATCATACCACATCTTGATACCTACAAAATACATATCACAATGAGATATATTAAATCAATCAACTTCACCTTTTTCTTTATGTGAGAGAGAATATCAACTATCTAATAACTCTTCCTGTATGAGCATATGAAAAATTCATTAATGGATTTCCTTCTGAATCCCTTTTGAAAATACTTACAGTAGCTGGTGAAGCAACTTCTAAATCCATTGGTTCAAACATCAAGTTAGTAGTGTTAGCCAGCTGGATAATTTCACCACTCATTAAACATAGTTTTTTATTGTCATCTAACACAGTGTTCATATTCTCAATCCATACTGCATCTACTGGGCCATCAAATATCAACCATTTACGATCTGGGGTCTAAACAGATATAAACATTGATATTTGGTGATATAATGGTTTAAGTTACTTCCTTTTTTCCTTTAAAGTATGGGGAGTTGTTTACCCTTCATAGCTAGTGAATGGTGTAACTTTTGGCAGTTTGAGCTGGAGAAGGATACAATATAGAGATGGTTTAAAAAGTCTCATCACCTATTATACACTCTTAACAATTTAGACTTCTGATGTTTATGTTTGGCAAAATGACCAGATATGTATTAATATCTGTGCTCATCAAATTATCTGTTTTATTTTTTTTAAAGTTTCAGGGACATACACTTCAACAATTTAATACAAAAACAAAACAATATAACTTACTGTAGATGAGGCAAAGGCTCTGTAAGAAACAGCTAGAATACCATCTGACCATTCATGAGATACTGGATCAAACTGACCATACAACTGACCCATAGTAATAGCTTTAGGATTGATAATGGTGATCTGCACCTTATTTTCATCCATAAGACCCTGGAATTTAACACAATAAAATTATAACCAGGATTTCTAATTCATATTTGATCAAAAAATTCAACTTTCTACTGCTAAAATACATGGATCATCATTTTTTTCTGCACAAAAGTCAAACAAGTTTTGAATGCTACTTAGTCAATGTTTCACAAGAATAATATGATATTTAGCAAGAAACTAACCTTCTCATGTATGTCATTAAGAGCACCTGCTAGCACTCTATAAGCTGCTGTTTTACCACCAAATGGTTCTCCTACTATCATGTAACCATGTCGTACTATCATCATTTCATAGATCTGAAGAATAAAATTCAATGGAGTTTGCATTTCAATTATTCTGTGTCGATTTAAGCTAATGAAAATTATCAAATGAATCAAATTATTTGCAATCTGAAACAAGTCTACCTGAGCAGATTTATTTCACATGCTGGTAATCTCTGAGTCTAGTCCAGGATACTGTAAGATATTGTAAAGCACATTATGCTATTGACACATTCTCCTAATCTTAATTCTCTTGTTCAATTGCTATGATAACCTAATATTTCAAAAACAACACACAATTGATAGTGGCAAGAAAAAATGGTAGCAATACTATAATATTAATCTTCACTACTGTTACTACATACAATAAAATAAACCTGAGGAATATAAATCAACCATGTATGGTATTTGACTCAACACTGAACCTACCTGCTGAATCTTTTCCAAGAAGAAATTTGTACATTGTAGATTCATTTTGATACAGTTTTCTTTGATGGCTTCATTCAGGATTTCATAATCTGGTGTTGGTAGTTTAATACCAGGGAATAGATCAGAAGTTATACCATGGAACAGGGGTAAATCATGATTTAAGAATTTGGGTAAATTAACATCAATAATAGATCGTAACATCAAAATATTCTCATCTTCTTCTGGATACTTCAACTGATATAAACATGTAGCAACTTTATTATATAATATTAATTGAAATTAAAACCTGTTCTGAATAAAGTTTTACAAGTTAAAATAACAGGACAAATCTAATAAGATTTATTTTACTTCAGCTTTCAAGAACAAACATAATTCCTGAGTTGAATAATTTGTGACATAATTTTGGCTCCAATTTCAGTTCAATGGAGCTTTCCTCTTTCTAGTTAGGCTGTTTGAAGACAGAACTTTCTAGGTTATAATATTGTAGTTCATCTTCAATTAAGTTCAAGAATACTGCATATCATGATTCTAAATTTATATATTTTATAGTTATATACCTTGAGATTACCAGCAGCAGTTAAGACAGATTTAACAGCTCTCATACCATAATCATAATGATGTTGTGAAGAGAGCTGTTCTGAACACAGCCTATATACAGCTACAATCTTCACTGACAGTGGTCTGGCAACAACGAACCCACAGGAATACAGGGATATCTCAGCAATCATAGCATAATCTGGTACCATCATAGCTACTGTACGGAACAGAGCCTGCAATATTCATTAAATCAAATATTTATCAAATATGGATACAAATGCCTGCCATTTGAAAACTGGATATCCAAGGGCTATAAGAAATTCCTATAAAAACTTATAGACTAACAATAATCTACCAATAGCTGGTTTGAACACCAACTGTTCATCTATAAAACTCATGCAACACCTTTTCAGACAATCTAAGAAGCCTTGAACAAATATTCAGATACTGAAAACTCCACTTTTATATAAGAGAAGCATCAATTTTGTTATAATCGTCTAAAAAGCATAATGTACTGGTACTAACCTTAAGATTATCAGGTAGATCAGAACGTCCAGCATAACCTGGGTTCATAGTAATAAAGACAGAACAAGTAGGATCCAGTTTTATTTCTGTCCCTTCAAACAGGAGAGAGTCTGCTCCAGAGCTAATACCTACAACACAGAATAAATGATATATATATATAGCCTACAAACTGCTCTCTTTCAAAGCAAATATACAGTGGGTAGCTGAATTTAACTGATCTAACAACCAACCATCCAACAGGCCATACATTTCAAAAGCAAATGGGAGGTATAAAATCTTTGGATTTCATTATCATGAGAAAGTGCTTTCAACAGAAGTGATTCAGACTGAGGCAAATATCTATAGAATTACTGAGTAGTAAATAAACATAACTTACCTCTTTGAATTGTAAGAATCTGTTGGGCAACAACAGACAATACCTCAAGATCAATTCGGTTAAACTCATCAAAACAGGACCATGCCCCACACGATGCCAGACCCTGAAGTAAATACACAGGTAAGGTATGATATGAAAGTAAAATCAATGAGGATGGGACTCATAAATATTTTTCAAGAAAACTAATATGGTAGTTGTGTAATACAAGAACCTTTTAAAGAGTTTCACACTGAAATGAAAAAAAAGGAGCATCAGACATACCTTAAAGAATTTTCCAAGAGCAATATAATCCAAACCATCTGAACAATTGAATACAACACATTGTTTAGCAACAGCTTTAGCTAAATCTTTAGTTGTTTCTGTTTTACCAGTACCAGCAGGACCTTCTGGTGCACCACCAAGATGGAGATGGAGAGCACCAAACAATGTTCTGGAATAAACATATTTCAGAAATTTCAATTATTTCAACAGAGTACTCTATTCATATTCTGAGATTCATTCAGATCAGGTAGAATAAGGCGAGTAAGTAATATAATTTCATTAAATACTATCATAAAACTTTATAGAACAGGTCTCGTATTCTTGAAATGATCTTATCCTTAGGATGTCCTAGGTTCTTATCTTCTAACATTGATTCTAGGACATCCTAGCGCTAAGATCCTTTCAAGAATACAGGTAACTGGTTACTATTTCTGGGATTTTCAACACACAACACAACATATTTTATTGGTTGGTACTAGTTGTCATGATATATTGAAAAAGGAACTCATAGCTTAAGGGTGAAAATTATCTGTTTTTTAAAACAACTTACCTATAACATCTATCAGTTAGAGGAGTGATGACTAAACGCCCAGAATTACCCAAATATTCATAACCATACTTCAACATAGAGTTGATCATTCTAGTAATCATATTACCATCCTGTAAACAAATCATACACAGCATGTTAACTGATTCATAGTTTTCATTATTCAATCTAACTGAGATCATTTATAAAAATAAGCCACCAGTGCTATATTGGGTTGACAATTATGGACCTAGATTTCTAAGCGATACAGAGTTTATAATTCGAGGTACAAGTTTTTTGAAAGAAATCTTACCTCCCAATAGTATCGAAGTTGACTCAACCAGTTAAAATCCAAATTATTCTGGACACCATCTTTGACTAATAATGTCAACACATCTCTAGCATGTACATCAAGTACGATCAAAGCTTGTAAGGTAACACGGTTCTGTTTGGACAGTTTGCCTCTTACTAGATCTACAATATCATTGATCTGAGAGTTGTTCAACTCAAGATAAGTCTGCATAGCTTCTGGACCTGTTTCTAATGCATCATTAACAAATGTTGTCCAGTATGCTTGTGAGACACAAAGAACCGCCTGACCTGGCCAAACCTTAACCCACTCAATACGGTTTGTGTTTTTATATGCTTCCATGGATTCACCAATAACCTGTAGAAATAAAATATGTAAATATTAAATTAAACTTTTGAAATAAAACCATCTTTTGCACAAGAGAAATTTCACTTTTTTTTTTTTTAAATATGACAAATAAAACAGATTAGGTTGATGTCATCTAGCATGTCTAAAAGACATTGAACCTACATGACAAAAAATGTTTTTGTATTTTGTGAACCAGAATCAATCCAATTTTGACTGCTTTAAAAAAAACCAAAAAACTATGATACCTTATGTAGCGATCCTATCATGTCAACTTCTAACTCTAGCAGCCATTTTTCAACTTGACCACGAGCTTTAGATGTGGATATCACATCTTTTAACTGTACAATTTCACCTTCACTACTCTTCATATGGGTAATATCTAGTACATCTGTAAATTCTAACTTAGCAATACCTTCAAAACATTTCTTCAAATGGGGTTGCACTCTATAAATAAAATGGAAAAAAGGGTTGCAGCCTGACAAACAAAACAAACCCTTAATCTCTGGATAAAATGGAATTCATTCCTTTGATTCTTTAAAATTCAAAACACTGCAAAGCAAACAGATTGATGTGAAATAATTGTTTAGAAAAATGTAATGAGTACATGTTGCCGCCATCTACAAAAATTAACTCAGTTGGCAGACAAATAGGCTCTACTATAACATTGTTTTACATTATTCTGTATGTCTATTAAACAAGAATTTCTTACCTCATTGGATCTTTAGTTTCAGATAGAATCTCTAACAATTCATCATTAGACAAGAAGAAAAATCGAGGGAAATATAATCTTTTCTTTTCTAAATATTCATTCAAACCCTGAAATACAACCAATCCTCTTTACAATGGTATTCATAGAATCCTTCAAAAAATGTGACCAGTCTATATGTGGACTATTTAAGAAGCTACAGCAACACTATTGACTTTTACTATGTCTTACTGTGATATTATTCTTATCATTATTTCTAAATAAATTTCTTGTAGCATCATACAAGCTTGATGAAATATGTCAATGAATTGATATTATTTTTGTTAGTTTGTAAAACGGGCAGCTATGATCGCTATCCTAAAGTAAAGAAAAGAACACCATCTTACCTTCTGAATCAATTCTAACAATTCATTAGATTTTTTGAATTTTTCAAGAATTTTGTCTATCTTGAGGACAGCTAGAACATGTTTATCAACTACAGCTGACTTCATGATATCTCGCCAATTTTTATCAACTGTAGAAAATCTTCGCCCTTCTTCAGGCATCTGAGCCATAATATCAGGTGAGCTAAAAATAGGCTCTAAATAAAGCCATGTTGCTTGTACTTTTAACCATTCATCTAGAATATCTTGTAATAACATTAACTTGGTCTCCCATTCTCTGTGGAAAAAAGAAAAAAACAATACATATTATGATGGTAAAACTCAAAATCATTCATTCTACATGTAACTAGAATTAGTCATCTTATGTTTGGATATAAATATTTGGTTTTAATGGTGTTTGAATTATTTCCCTCATTGAACACTGACTAAAGAAAGGATCAATACTTACTTGATCTCGGCTTCAAATGGTTTAATAAATGGTGAGCCTCTCATTGTTTGAGTTTTAACAATATGATCATCTAGAACTTGTTGAATATCATCAACAGATGACAAAATAGAAGTACCAGATTCTCGATATGGTATAATAGTAAATTCAAACTGAAATTAATTTAACACAACATTATTTCACATCTTTAATGTATGGAATATATATTAATTTCATAACGTTTCATAACTTATTAACTAAATAAGTCTCATATTGCTAATGGTAACACTTTATTTTACATTGGGGGTTAAATTATAGAACGGAGGCTCCAAGCATGAGGCAAGCAACAAACACATTTTTCAATACAAAGACTGCTGGAAGAATCCTTTCTTTTTCTCAAAATACTAAAAACACTATTCAGTTCCTACTTACTGGTGCCCATTCATTCTTCATGGATTCCATGGCTTTCTCCAGAGAATATTCCTTGCTAGCAGCCTCACTTATTCCTTCAAATTTAGGAATGTATGGCTCTAGGTTCATGTCCACAAATTTAGATAAACATGAGTTTTCGTCAGGTTTTATGGTATATCCAGCCATTTCAGAGATTTGTTCCCAATGTCTGTCACGTAAACCAGGGTTAAATAGTGTCTGTACCAATGGCATGTGACCTTTAAACTCATCCACTTTGGTCTTGACCTGAAATTCACAAAAATGAAAAATAAATGTTCAAACAACCCTCTGATTTCAGTTGACCTTACTGCAAGGAGGCTTCACCATTATGACTTCCTGAAACAATGGATCACAAAAAATAGAACAAAACCAATTTCTATTCTAGACAACTAATGACCTACCTTTCCAACAATCTTTTTAGCAGCAGGGACATTTTCAAATGTTTTTTCTAATTTATATAATCCTCTCCATATATTACCTACTTCAGCATCTACATCATCAGGATTGACACCACTCATCGGACCATCCATCCACTCCCTATAACCAATAGTTTTCATAAATATTGTTTCACAATGGTCAAAATTCTTATACACCTTATCAGACTAGTCAAGACCCATTCTGCGAAACCTGAATGATTGTGATTTATGATATCTTGGCCAAAATAAAAGAAATACATACTTATACTTAGTATTGAAGTCGACGGTAGTTTCATATAAAGTGAGATAAGGTTTGAGTGTATTGATAACGGTTTGTCTCTGTGGATAAGCCGTTGTCTCCCAGCCAAACGCTTCCTCTTCCGTATTAAATGCTTCAATCTGAAAGATCAATATTCAACATGTCATAAAAAGTGCAAACACAAACAAGGGAGAATATTGGAGACTCACCACTTATAGTGTAGTATGATAAATTGTTTAGAAACATAAAATAATAATGTCACTTGCTACAAAGTCGTTCTACCTTATCAGCTGCTGCTTGTAGTTTAGTATCTAAAGCTTGTGCTTTACGTAGGTATCTCTGTATTTCTGTCATATCACCAAATTGTTGGAACTCTTCAACTTGTTTCTGGTAACTTTCTAATTCTTCTGTAAATCTTTCTCGTTTCAACTGAAAAACAGAAGATAATTTAGGCATTATTTTTCTGAAAGGGTGAGCCTAGCTTCCTCAGCAGCTTTCCAGTCAGTATTTATTCTATAGAGGAACTCAAAATGATTGAAATTAAAAGTTTTGCATGCCACTATTCTGCACCAGCTTAGGCTGATGATGAAACTCTAAGGACAACATGGTGGAGGAATAATAACAATTACTGACCTGAAGTGCTTCTTCATATTGGCCTCTCTTCTCAGAGCAGATCAATTTGTGTTCCTCAAACACAGCAGGCATTCTTCCATGCCAAGTAAATACTTGAGAATTTAATCTCATTTCTGCTGGTGAAAACTGAGCAAAATCAGACAGAAAGGTGAGACGATCTTTAGATTCTGATAGACGTTTTTCCATTACAAATATTGTATCTGATTCCACTTTCTCTATATAAGCCTTTAATTCCATCAAGGCCTCTGTATTGGCAGGAGTTGTTAGAGCTTTTTCTGCTATAGCTTCATAATCATTGCATAATCTATAAGAATAAGAATATTAGACCATTAAAAGTTGGTTCAGACAATGTTGATGGATAATTTTCATTTTGAGGCTGTAGATCTGCTATAATCTAACACCATTATACTAACATCGTTAGTTATACATTTTTTGATACGTCTCTTGGTTATTGTGTTTACAGGGTCAATGTTGTGAATTTCGTGAAACTGGAGAAAGATTTTCATAATTTCTCCCACTTTCACATTGACCCAGTGTAAGAATAACAAGACCGGTGAACAATGACTAATTTTTTATGTAGTAACCCGCTTTGACTTCTGATCAAACATGCAAGATGTCTCCTGATTTTGTCTTAGGCCTATCGTGTACCAACGCACACAGTAGCAATTTACCGACCTTTAGTTATATTATATTGCCTCTACGGTATCCACTTTAGCGCACAAGATTCAAATTTGCAAGAAAGTTGTAAACACCATTTTTACGGCAGGTATCAAAAGAGGGTCATGGCAATCAGATAGACGAGCAAATACACATCAGAAGTGACAAGGGAGTCCAGAGAAAATAGCTATAAAATTATACATATGTAATTCAAAAACCTCTCAAACTTACGCTTTGTTAGCTTCTTGATGATCTTTACACATTCTCATTAGGAGTTTACTCTTTAAAGCATCTGCTCTTTTAGCCAGAGCTCTAATCAACTCTTCACTATGGATCTCAAACATTCCAACACGAACTATTTTCTGTGAGTTATAGGAAACATCTTCTATCAGTTTGTGATATTTATCAACCTCCTTCGCATAATCATCAAACGAATGTTCTTCTTTTGTCATAAACTGTTCTACATCTATATCAGCCTACAATTATTTCTCAAAATTAATAACAACTCATTTATACACACAGCTGTTTGGATCAATTGATAGGCAGACAGCATTCTCATGTCTACTTTCTTAAGAAGTTATCTATGTGAATTTCTTCATCTACCAATATATTCCTACATCAATTCTAATGTCTTATTTTCAGAATCAAGTACCAAGCAAACATTTCATGAGGAAGCACAAAGAATCTTTCTACATTGAAGTTCAAAGCTTAATGATAAATTAGAATTTCTATCTACAAAGTCTTCATTATAAAAGTACATAAATACAAAGAATATAAGCTTAGAGATCATGCAATGCATCTTTAACTTAAGGTGATGCTTCAAAAAAGATGATAGAAAATAGTGAATACATCGACAAGCATCAATAAACTTTACAGGAGTATTTCCATTACATATTGATGTGATAAAATTGACAAACAAAATTCATAAAATGTCCACATTTCAGTGATCATTCCTATATTTTCAGTGAAGACTTATGAACATGCTTGTGATTTGTACATCTAAACAATACCTCCTCTACTTCAGCAGATTGTTCATAAATAACAGATTCTACAACGCTACCATACTACAGTATCATTGAAGAAAAATGAAATGTTTAATAAGGAAGTTTTGTGGTTTGTAAAATTCTTTATTTATGTCACTTTTCAGTTTTAAGGTAATGACTTCAAATTGCATTATTCCAGATAGGAAATGCAACCATAAAATGAACAAACACTAAAAAAAAAGTCTTTCTTGAAACTGATAATCTCTTATTTCATTAATAGAAATAATACTACATGAATACTTCAAATTTAGTCAAAATATTATAAGTAACCATTTTCTGAATTCTGTAAGGATGAAGAATAGTTGGCAACCTTGATGATATAAATGACAATAAGACAATTTACAAACAATAGAACTGAAAGTATATTGTTAAGATCTTTACCTGTTTGCTGATTAAGAAATTATATTTCTCATAAACTTTACAATGTTCTACTGGCAGTTGAGATTCTCTTTTGATCAGATCTCGAACTTTCTGTTTATGACGTTCCAAGATGGCATCTAACACCACTGGCTTTAACACAGGCTTTGATTTACTGCCATTCTGAAAAAGTAAAATTAAGGATCGATTCATAATTGATACAAATGATAGCATGGATGAATTTAATTTCTAGAATTTATTGATATCAAAAATATCCTACCACAAACTAAGAAAGTCAAACAAAAGTCACAAACTTTATTATTGAAGTCAACAATAAGTGATAAGAAACTTACCCATTCTGAGTATAACTTAGTTTCAACTCTAGGTATTACACAAGATGCCTTCAATATGACATCATACACGTTCAATAAAACTACTTCAAAATCTTTAAACTGTGGTTCAAACTTAATAGTTGTATCATCTAATATCATTCGTAAAATAAAACCTGAATGTTCAAATGCTCTGGTTGATGTCTGAAAGAGAGATTGAATTAATTTTACTTGAAATTCCTAAATTTCGTAAAAATTGAATGAAAATTGTAGCAGACATCTTATTGTTTTCACCCTTCTGATTCAACAATCATGAACAAAAAATAAAAAACTACTTACTGAAGGTTGAACTAATAAATCTGTAAAATCATTCAGTGAATTCAATGTTAACTGCTGAAGATTTTCTGTCATTAAAGTAGCTGCACAGTTAAAAAATGATTCTAGTTTATCTAGGTCTTGATTACTTGGTACTTGTTTTCTTTTGTTTCCTTGGTAAAATATTGTCTGAACTTCTGGAAACCATCTGAAAAATTGTGATCAGACTTATGATAATGTCAATAGTAATAGCTCTCTGGCTTGTTTTCTGGTATGTTATAAGTTTTGGATTAAGCTAAATCAGTTATAAGATAAGTTATAGAACTAGATATTTATTATCTTGACACCTAGTCTTCTGACCTAAAGTTAGCAAAACTGAAATCTTATCAAAATCAATAAAAGTTTGGTGATATTTACTAACAATCTATTGAACATTGAAAAACAAAGGAACTCAATGAATCTCAATGATGACTCTTACTTTTTCATCAGCCTTTCCTTAGCAGCATCAATATGTCTCATACATAAATTCTGAAATGTCTGAAGTTCCATAGATTCTTCTCTGGTATGGAATTCTTCAATATCTATAAATCTTAGTCCACTGAAATACATATTAACCTTAAATTAATCTTGACACTATAACTCATAGACAAATATTTCCATACATCCGAAATCGAAAGATATTTGGAGAAACCATGGCAATGTTAGATATTTTACATTTTATGAAATCATTATAGAGAAATATATCTTACCTGAATGATACATGCCATAAATCTAAAACCTGCATCATACAAGGATTGGTAACAAATAGATTCTGTGAAATAAGATCATTAGATATACAGTAAGATCTATTCCATGGTTTGGGTACTATAGCTAATTCTTCACGATGTGGAGGTAATTTCTCTTTCTTATCTTCATCTTTCTCACGTGGATCTTTCAACACAAAATCAACTAAAATCAAAACAAAACACTAACTTGTCAACGAAGTCATGTACATGATTCTTTACTTCACTGTTATTATCAAGTTATATCCCTTGAAAAATAAATTGAGATGGCCTTAACAGTACACTTCAACAAGTCAACATATGCCTAGTAAAATGACCAATTCAAATAATCACAGAATTCTGTATAGGCCTACAACCACCAATGCTGAGTATAAGAAGTATTGAAAAAAAAAAAGACCTACCAATAGCTTTTTTAACACTCAATAAATAATCTTCTCTCATTTCATCTGATAGAGATTCAATAGTTTCCTCATGGCCTCCCCTCAGATTAAATGGCACCAAATCCAAGACATTCTCTAACCAGGAATCTTCCATTGGCGCCACATGTTCGGTATCAATACCATTATGTATATAATAATAATAGCGTAAAATATCTTTCTCAGCAGTTGTAGGTGAGCCTGTACGAGACAAGGGAGGTAACTCTCCACTTATTGATGCTGTACTACTCTTGGGTAAACTTTCTTCTTGCCTTTAAAGTAAATCAATTCTCAACTTAACAGTGGTATCTCAGAAGTGTTAATAAGACTTTTGTGGATCTGTAAACTCCAAACTTTCAAATGTTACTATATTTTGTCTTAAAATATGCCTGGGAGATCAGAGGTTTTCGTGAATATGAGACAAAAACCAAACAAGAAATATTTGAAGAAAAACTCAATTTCATAAGCTTAATTCATAGAAATATATAGATGTTTTAAGTGATTGTGTGTAAACAATATATGAGAAATATCTTACATAATTATATCAACAAGAGCTTTCCGAAACTGTTCTCTATCTTTCTTTGGCTGTTTAAACTGTTCAATATTTCCTGTTTTAGCATCTATTGGTTTTAACTTCTTGGCCTTCTTTCTCCTGGATTCTCCTGTACAGATAAAAAACATGTTGATAAAAACAAATTTCCCATGTAAAGAAACCAAAAAAATGAGGTATCAGTACCTAGGAGAGCTTACACACTCAGATCAAAATGAGCATACATAAATGAGCAGGTAATTTATTTTATTTGTGATTAGAGCACAATTTAATTGATGTTGAAACATTTCTCTTCATTTATTTTGAATACACTCTAGTCCCCAATGAATTTAGTGTACATCAACTAGAAACTGGAAAAGAAATTAAATGAATGGAGTTTAACATCCTACTTTAACTAGAAACTTGAGTTCTTTGTTTAATCTAACTTTGAATCTTACTTTGTGTGAGTTCCCCAACCAAATCAATAGCATCTCTATGGTCATCCTCTTCTGATACTTTCCCAGATAAAATAAATGCTGGTGGATTGGATTGCCATGAAGGTTTACTACGTTTAGCAGGTAAAACAGGAAGAAATCGTATCGGATCATCTGTTCCTTTTCCCTTGTTACCACCACGACTTGGCAAAGGGGTTGTCTGAAAAAAAAAGAAAACATTAAAAAAATTAACTCAAGCAAAATTATGTGTGACTAACAAGAGGTTCCTCTAATCAATAGAGAACTTACAAGGATACAGCTGAAGCTGTATCATATTGCAGTTGGTGAAACCTCTTTTGCGATCTATTTTTCTCTATAAAAATTTATTACAACAGAAAATTGTTTATTTTTTCATGGAAATGTTTCCTTTTTCTTTAGATACCGGTACGTAAAAAGTGATTTGTCTATTTATAAAGCTATACAATGATCTTTGGTCTAATCAGTCATTTTTATTTTATACTGAATTGTTATCAAATCTAAATTAATTATCCAAGAATGAAAATTGGTTTGCACAATTGCTAATCAAATCTTTCAATGTAAACCCTGGAACCACAAATACTAAACCTACCAGGTAACACATTTAATTATTTTTCATACTAAGGTTCATTCCATTATTACACATAAAAGATAAATTTCAAGTACATTTATTGGAAATGTTTATATTTTTCATTTTCTCTGTATGTAGCAACCACTGAACCTTAAAGATCATATGAGCAGAAATGATTTACCTCCAAATAATGACAATCTTTGAATCATCTTATAAAATCAGTACAAATATACAACTTAATCAATAGATAAATGAACTATAAAAATCTCAGCTAAGAATGATATTGTGTGTTTAATTATATTGATTTAATAGTTAATTAATTAATAGACCTGATCTGGCTTTGTTACAACATTTACTTCAAACATCATTAATTTTTGAAGGGTGATAAAAAGAACTTATAGCTGCATAATTCCCATCTAAGACAAGACATAAAATTTGTCATTCCTCTTCAATGAGTTTGTAAACTTTTTTCTACACCTCAAGTCAAATATTGAGTAAAAAAAATATATCCAAATCTACCCCTCCTGATGTGGACTGAATGTTGGAAATACATGTCAGCAGCAATTTAGCAAACAAATTTTATCTCATAACAGTAATATAGTATTAAATAGGCCTAATAAACAGAATTTATGCAATTTGTTTGTCCATAATTATGTAATCAAAAAACCAAACAAGATCAGTTGTATGAGAAAGCTAAGCCTATTTCTCCCTTAATGCATTTCAACTTTCAAAACCAAATGCTTGTTTATTCTATAGACAATCTAATTAATAATTAAAATAGCCGGAGATATTCATTTTAAAAACTTTGACCATAGGAAGTAAATTATATAAGTTAAACTTTCCATCCTGATTCATTTATTCAAAAAAAAAAAAAAAAAAAAAAATTCATACTGCAATTTGAATGATTTCATTTCCAGTGTTTTTCATAGTATTTAAGTTAAGGTTAGGCTAGTTGACTGCCTATGTCTGATTTTGTATGATTTTGTTTACATTGACTACACAGTGTCACAATCTTATCAACTTTTATTGCATCTGCAAAATAAGTTATAAAGTTACCTGTATTTCGGCCATGTTTCCCAAATCCTATTACTTTCTTATTTACAATTTCGGCTTCATTCAGCCAGGTTTGATTAAGTTAAAAGCAAAATTACTAAGGGAAACTTTTTTGATCTGGCCATAAACAATCAATCATGGCGGATAGTTGCTATGTTGCTAGGTAACATGACGCTTTGGAGATAATTGTTTCACAATTTTAGAGATTAAACCTATAACATGTAATAATTAGTAAATAATTAAGCTCTAAAATTCTACATTTTTTTTTTAATTTAACACAATAATTTATTTTTGAAAAAGATTTAAATAGACTTCTAATGTGTGTTATTTTCGTACTTGACCAATGAAATTCAATACTATGAAAAGTTATGAAACGAAAGTATTTCATACCCTTTAAAAATAATATGTTCATAAAAGTTGATATCTACTATGTATTCAATTATTGTTTTAATTTACTGTAGGCGTAAAATATACACTCTATCTATCTTTCCAAATCCTTTATTTCGTTTCATTAGTTTTCCTGAAGGGAAAAATTAATTAACGCACGTGGGTTTGTTTTGATTGGTGAACAATGTCAACAAAATGATCGTTCGACTTTGATGTATATAGCTTCCTTTGTGTTGAAAATGGTCTCAAACCGATTTCTGGTTAAAGTAGCCATTGGTGGAGCAATATTTACGTTGACCTCTATTTCTGGAATGAAAATTTACATTGAAAGTTAGTTTTCTGTCCTGACCTACCTACACGCATCTAGAAATATGATTTCTTAAACAATTTTACAATTACATATCAAACTACAAAACTAGCACATTTAAACACTGTTTTATTTTATTTTTTTTAATTCAGAGCTTGAATGGACATGTGTGACTTTCTGGGGAGTTGATTTGAGTCTTGAATATATTATGTAAATGTAACCTATATTATAGCATATAATTGTTCAACAGCAAATTTCATCAAAATTCATAACAGAAATTATTTTTTATGTCTTAGATGTTTTTTCAGATATTCTATAAAATAATTTAAATCGGTTTGTTCTAATTTTCTGTATGAATCCCCCCATATCTGATGAGTAACCAACTCGACACTGCAAAATGCGTCACCTATTTTCGTGTCAAATGTTTGATCTATAAATGAGTCGAGAAAAACACGTTGTATGGATACCGGGTGGTATAATTAACTTCTCTTAGTATTTATCTTTAATATCAATTCATTATAACTAATGGCAATTCCTTCAAAGAACAACGATTTGAAAAAAAATAGTGACTGTCAAAGTAAGATAATTATAACGTAAGAGTAATTTATAATTGCTTAAATTCATTGAAACAACATAAGAATATGGCCCACATTGTGTTCTGTAGAATTTTTCTGCCGACATGGAATCCGCTAATTTGTCACGTGAATTTGTTCACTGGAATATATTCTAGCAGACAAGACTTGGAATTCCGAGTACAGCTTGGGATTATAAGGATAATTAGCCAAGAACGTGAAATTCGCCATTATGTATATGTCAGAAATAGATAATAAATTTGACATTGCCTTTGAATGATAGGAAAAATTTTGCAGGTTGACGTTGTGGAGATTACCCATGTTTATCAAAACATGAAAATGCAGAGGTCAAGCAAGGTCAATTATTTATCATTTCTGTATGAAAATCACATAATTCCTATTAGGAAATTCTTCCTATTTCTATATATTTCTTTTCTATATATGGCAGTGTCTCAAAAAAAGATGACTCGTCTTTTTAATTCAAACGCATATAATTCTGGACACACCATTTTGATGGGGAACTGTGAACATTATTACTGATTGGCTTAAAAATTCCCATTTCTGAGAGTAAAGTATGATTGATGAAAAAAATACTGCAAGATTATATTTTTTGTTTATAGATAAATTTCAAAGGCAAGACTTTTATTTGAAATCTATGGATTTGTTAAGGAATTATGAGCCAGCAGAAGAAAGACTGGGAAAGCCTATCATAGACAGAACAATTAACATTGGGGAATTACATCACAACTATACAGATGGAATAAATGCCAGGGTAAACACAACTTATGATACAATTTACATTATTTATATACAGGTTTTCACTTGCATTTAAGTATTTACAGATGCATGGCAATATATTGTATCATAGTTATTGCCTTCTATACACATATAGGCAATGTTGGTTCTCCATTACTTTCTATACATTTTGTTTGTGATGCAAAAACTGTACCATTTTCCTCATTTTTATGTGCCTTAATATTTTATAAACTGTTCTTTCTGAAACTTTCTTTTTGAAACTTTAGTTGTGACTGTGTTTTTCACACTTTTTTTGTGAACTTTGTTAATGAATGGTCTTTGTTTCTTTTTCAGTTAAGGATACCATTGAAAGGATCCATAACAAATGGTGCTTTATATGTCCTTGCTAGCAGAGAGACACCAAAGGAAAGGTAAACCAAACTAACCCTGTATAGAAATAACATCATTGATTCATAGCTTAAAAAAAAACTTTTTTATAATGTTAACTAATTTTAAAAAAACCTGAACATGGAAAGCAGCTGAGTAAGTTTTTTGACTGCCCTGGCCACTAACTATCAAATATGGTAGCCATGTGTACTCTTTTTGAAGTGATAAATGCCCCTCTTGCTCACCTTTTGTGAGTATTGTTACCATGCTTTCATCTCCGTTAGAACTAAAAAAAAAGGCTCATTTGCTGCAAATAATGACTGTATTTTGTTAATTTGTCTTTCAGCTGGCATATTGATAAATTAGATTTAGAAATTCCAAGTCATTTTCAAAGATGGACATTTTATTATGATCCAAGAGATTCCTCTAAGGTTAAAATTACTGGTGGTTCGGATGAGGCTGATGAGACATCAATAATAGACAATAATGCAGTGCAAGATACACAGGCTTCCTGATTTTATGTGATAGTACAATAAAAGTCAATTTTCACTAGTAGCTGATCTAGCTGATGAAGTGGTAACTGTATATGAGGTGCCATTAAAGGGACAGAAAAGAAATTTCTGGTAGTAAATCATACCTTGTTCTGTTAATCTAATCAGTAATAAAGTTCACAGCTTACCGTACAAATTTGAAGGAATTATGCTACTTTTGTAGAATTTTTAGACGCCAAAACCTCTCTATGTGAATGTATATTGTCTTCACCCCCGTCGGTCCGTCAACATTTGCTTGTAAACGCTATAAAAACTCGATTTTTTGATGGAAGCAAATGAAATTCGGTATGTGTATACATATTTATAAAACAAAGATCAAGTTCGAATTTGAGCTATTTTCGACCGATAGAAGCAGAGTTATTGCCCTTGCCCCAAAATCTTGAATATACTATTACTCTGTTAGTTTTCAACAGATTTTGATGAAACTTAAAATGGATGTTATTGGACCTAAAGCAAAAGGTTTGAAAAAGTTTAGTTTACTTCTTACGTCAGTTTTGAGGAGTTATCACCCTTTCACCTCCATACAGTAAGTGCTTCTATCAACATCAATTGCTCGTAAACACTCTAAAAACTAGAGTGTTTGAAGGAAATCAAATGAAATTCGGTATGTGCATACATCCGTCAACATTTGCTTGTAAACACTCTAAAAACTAGATTTGTGTATGTGTATACATATTCATAAAACGAAGATCTAGTTCGAATTTGAGCTATTTTCGACCGTTAGAAGCAGAGTTATTGCCCTTGCCCCAGAATCTTGAATATTTACCATCCGCATGCCGTGGTGGGCGTATATGGCTGTGGTCCACTATCTTAGTAATACTATTCACATAGATTCAATAGTCTAAATCAACCACCTAAAATGCTGCACTTGTTGTCTTTTAAGATTAGTTGAGTTATGAACATTGAATAGTATTGTAGTAATGCTGTAGTGACTGTTGTTAGATGTAATTACATATTTCTAGAAAAATGTGATCATTCTTTGATAGATTGATTGTAATTGTGCCCAGCTATAATATACAAATTTTAATAATTATGTTGGTGTATTTTTTCCTTATAAATGTATAATATTTTCAAGGGAAACTGAGTAAAACAAGATTTCTAAGGATTTCTCACTTCAATATAATTTCATTGAATTAAGACAGCTTGCCAGGCAAGGTAATATACGCCCACTGGCAGCTTTGATTTTGAATAAAAATATTTAGAAGTACAGTAACAATCACCAGTATGAAATATTCAACCTTCAGTCATACACTTCTTTTGAACTCTTTAGGGCGATACTGAATAATATTGATTGATTTTTAGCTCGTGAAAATCTAGAACGCAAATATTCAATCTTCAGTGCGGGACTGAATAATGAAACCAAGTTTTGTCAGAATCCAGTAAGAATCATGCCTTTTAGTGCTAAATTTGAAAGCGTTTTCCAGAACAAGGGCAATAACTCATACTAAATATTTTTCAATTCTTCTGATTTTCAATAGGGTTCATCCTTGGGTGATAACGAACATTCACATCAAGTTTCATCAAAATCTGTCAACAATTGTGCCTTCTAGAGTGATTACGAGCTAAAAATTGAACGTGTTTCCAATAGCAAGGGCAATAACTCATACTAATTATTTTTTGATTTTTTTGATTTTCATAGGGTTTATCCTTGGGTGATAACAAACACTCATGCCAAGTTTCGTCAAAATCCGTCAAGAATTGTCCCTTCTAGAGTGTTTACAAACTAAAAATTGAACGCGTTTTCAAGAACAAGGGCAATAACTCATACTAAATATTTTTCGATTATTCTGATTTTCAATAGGGTTCATCCTTGGGTGATTATGAACACTCATGCCAAGTTTCGTTAAAATCCATCAAGAATTGTTCCTTCTAGAGTGTTTAGGAGCTAAAAATTGAAAGCTATTTCAAGAACAAGGGCAATAACTTATACTAAATATTTTTCGATTCTTCTGAAATGAGTGATTACGAACACTCATACCATGTTTTGTCAAAATCCGTCAAGAATTGTTTATTGTAGCGTGTTTACAAGCAATTGTGGACGGACCGACGGACATGGGTGACGGCAATATACGCCCCTCATTTTATGCGGGCGTATAAAAATGTGTTACATGGGAGATAATTGTAACCGCTTTTCACTCGACTGAGACCACAATAGACTGATGATAAAATAATTCGTTTTCAGAATAATAATCCTTCATCAATCTGAAATAGTGGACACATTTTGTGGATTTGAAGGCTCAAATTTCGACGATGAGCTATGAAGGCTATTACTGTTTAGCTTTCTGAGACTAAGGATTTGTCCAACGGATAGTGAATCTGCCCCCTATAAGTTTGATGCCCCAAATTCTGATGTCGACTTTCAAATAAATTGATATTTTGTAAGAACTTCCTATAATATGTCGTTGTTGATGCACTACCGGTAGAGAAGAACGGACCGTGCCAGATGAGTTGTAATGCCAAGAATTCGGATAATTGATATAGACCTGGTTTCACCTGTTTACGTTTTCATTTTGTTTCCAATGTTCCTTTTAAGTATGTTGCTTATGTTGCAATTCCCGTGCATATTAAACTGTTTGTCTTCGACGTACAAGCTCGAAATCTTTCCAACAACATTCAAGAGATTTCACCATTGCCGTATTAACGATGCTGAAATTGAATTGGCTTCAGTAATTATCTATCTATTCAAACTTCTTAACTGTCACATTCAGTCAATGTGACATTAAAGCTGTAGTCCGGTGTACCACCCAGTTGAACGCATTATTTTCCGTTCTAGGAAACGTATTTTGAATTATAAAACAAATTGTCAGTCCATTAAGGGCATATAACAGTTAATGATAAATCATATATTCGAAAATGAGATTCAGAACTAAGCTGCCTCAGGCTCTTTGGAATAATAAGTTAAAGGAATACTAAGAATTTTAAACTTGGCCAATCAGAGCATCTATTCATCAGTAGATATACCTGTTGTCTTAAGTGTACTTATAAAATCCGATTAATCCAAAAAAAAACTTAGTAATTGTCTAAGGTTTTCCAATAATTACTTAGTTTTATTTTCCAATTTTCTAGATTTTACAGAGATTATGTTGTAACTTTATGACACCAGGTAAGTTTACTGATGAAAATATATACCCATATTGACCATTCTTGATAACTTAAATTTTATGTTCATTCTAAGACGTAGTATCACTTTACTATCCTATTATTGAAACCAAACTATATAGATAACTAGGAAAGAACACTATTTATTTCTTAGTTTGCAGTACATGTATAAGTTCGAAATCATCTAATAGTCACAATGATGAACTGAAATTTGTCAGTCAGTTCAAAGGAGATGACTCGGACTAAGATGGTTGCAATGAAGTGTAAGATATATAGTTTATCTTCAAGAAGAGACCGTGATTGTTTGGCTAGACTGGTTTTAATAGCCTAATTTAGTTTTGTCTTATTTCTCTCTAATCTGCTCGGACAATATCTACTTTGAAAACTTGTGACTTGAATGGATCAAGCATCCTTTCCCGGTCGACTTTGTATTATCAAGGATAAACACCAATTTCAGGTCTGTGACTGCCAATCTGCCATGGGTTGTTGGCTAGACCCGTCTACGAGCATAAAGCACGATCCAAAATTTCTATTAAATTATCTTGCAACGATGCACAATGAATCAAAATAAAGTTAATTCATGAATATTTCTGTTAAAATTCGTTTGAATCTGGTATACACAATCCTTCAGCAGAGTGAACATGGTAGTAGTCACAATGATGTGAGGTATTTAAACTATGCCTATACGGCGGGGGAGTATTTATACTTAAATATTTACTAACCCTGCCTATATACGCAAGTCAATGTTTTCGTTAAGTTGGTTTATTACAACTATGTTTGATCTCAGACAATCAACAAATGTGATATATCCTGTCTCAATGGAAACATTTCCAGAGAACTTGCATCAGTTTTCCATTCACTCACAGTGCTAAATTTGAAGCTTTTCTCGACCTCTAATTGCTATTTGTGACTTATGTTTTTCAATTCTCTCAAAATTTACTTTGACATACGACTTATGTGTCATGATTATCGGTTGTTTGGTAGATGTTGGTTAACTTTCGCTTGCAGCGGATGCTGATACCGCAGACTAGGTAATTGTTGGTAGTCTTAGTAGTTGGTAATTGGATTGGTGTCATGGCTATCAATAGAAGTTTCAATTTATAGTACTACTTATTTGACTATCCTAGTAAATACCTGCATTTCTATCACTCATAGTTTCTATTTTTAGTAATACTAACCCGACTATCACCAGTACTTTCTATTTATAGTAATACTTACCCGACTATCACCAGTACTTTCTATTTATAGTAATACTTACCTGACTATTATCAGTATTTTCTATTTATAGTAATACTAACCTGACTATTATCAGTATTTTCTATTTATAGTAACATTAACCTGACAATCACTAGTAGTTTCTATTTATAGTAATACTTACTTGACTATTACCAGTAGTTTCTATTTATAGTAATATTTAGCTGACAATCACTGGTAGTTTCTATTTATATTAATACTTACCTGGCTATTACTAATTGTTTCTTTTTTTAGTAATTATCTGACTATTACCAGCAGTTTCTATTTATAGTAATACACCACTGACTATTTCTATTTATAATGATACATACCTGACTAATACTAGTAGTTTCTATTACGGTTGTTTCTGTTTATAATAATACATCACTGACAATCACTAATAGTTTCCATTTATAGTAATACACCACTGACTATTACTAGTAGTTTCTATGTATAATAATACACAACTGACTATTACTAGTAGTTTCTATTTATAATAATACATTGCTGACTATTACTAGTAGTTTCTATGTATAATAATACACCACTGACTATCACTAGTGGATTCTATTTATAATAAAACTCTCTGACTATTACTAGTAGTTTCTATGTATAATAATACACCACTGACAATTACTAGTAGTTTCTATGTATAATAATACACCACTGACAATTACTAGTAGTTTCTATGTATAATAATACATCACTGACAATTACTAGTAGTTTCTATGTATAATAATACATTACTGACTATTACTAGTAGTTTCTATTTAATAATAATATATTACTGACTTTTACTAGTAGTTTCTATGAATAATAATACATTACTGACTATTACTAGTAGTTTCTATTTATAATAATACATTACTGATTTTTACTAGTAGTTTCTATTTAATAATAATACATTACTGACT